CAACACAAGGAATGAGGCAGCTCCCTGAACAGAGATGACCAGCGTTTGCACAGCTCATGTTAGTGAGAATGTGTACCTTTATTACTCTCGTGCCCTAAAGATCTTTGAGGGGCTCCTTCCCTCGCAGCAGCAAGGACATGCTTGTAAAATTCAACTGTGCAGTGAGCATGTTATGTGCACTGACAGGATCCGCTCACCCCAATCCTTCTCACCGTGCAAGCCAGGGGGTTTTCGTGACTGGGTGTTGCCGACTCTCACTGTCTGCATCTCTCCAGGGGCCCAGGGGCCTGCCCTAGGGCACTGGCTTACAGGGACTCCCTTTCCTTCAGCTTTCACGATCATTCCAAAGTCTCTCCTGCAAAAAACCTCTAACTTCCCTCTGTACTTTCTCCATCTGTGTTTGATTCCCCATTCCAAATTTCTTTTTTTCTCATTATCCCTATCCCATATTCTTCTGTATGCCTAAGAAGAATACAGAAACAAAACCAGGTAGTCCAGAATCGGGCATAACGAGAACTCAAGGGAAGAGTTATTAAGGCAGAACACTTTGCAGTGGCTTTAGAGGAGAGACAGAGATCATCTCAGGGTCTGGTACATATATCTTGGGAACAGTGAAAAAAGCAGCATTTGAGATGAACTTCCAACAAGGGCAAAATTCTGAAAAAAGAATGTGGAGGGGAGGGTGCTTCTAGAAGAAACAGCATGATCGAAGGCCCAGGAGCAAGGGACGTATGTGGGGACAAGGCAGCATTGAGCCTGGCAGGAGTGCGGGGCAAAGAAGGAGCAAAGGTTGGGGCCAAATGGTGCAGAGTCTGCAGCCAGGCTGAGGGAAAGAAAATGTGCCCGGTGCTTTGTCATCAAAGGCCTGTATGTCAGTCACCACACCACCTCTGCCTCATCACATCAGCCTGCCCCTTGGGGTTAACGGAGGCTGCCAAAACCCTTCATTAGACTCCAGGTTGGGGAAACAGGACAGAGGACTGTTTACAAACAAAAGGAAATCAATTTCAAAGATAAAAAAAGTTTTATTTAAAACAATAATAGAGTTATTGAATGATTTATTTTCACATAAGCTCATTGAAATGAGTACGGCATTTTTTCTCAGCTTATCAAGGGGCCCCTCAGACGTCAGTCAGGCCTCAGATAAACAGTGTTATGTGTATGCTGAAGGAAAATCAGGCTGCAGAGCCCGGGCCTTCAACAGCCTTGGCATGAGCTTATTACTCGAAACACATTCAAGACCAAATTTCCCCAAATCTCAGGTAGGAAAAATGAGAGAAAACTTCAGAAAATTTAAAGAACAAAGATGAATCCCTCTCTTCTAGGCTGTCAATTTGTCATTTCCACCGCTTTCTTCCTAATAATCGCTTCTCTAGCCCAATCCTGGGAGACTTATCACTCAGTGACTAGGGCAGAGCCCTGGCATGTGCTCTCAAAAACACTAAGTCCCTAATGTACTGTTCATTCATTCATCCACGTCCTGAACACCTACTTTGTGCTGGGTGCTCCATGCAGCTTGGAAGCTGGCAGGAAAGACAGATAAATAGACCCACAATCAGCAGGTACCAGGCAGTTCGCCAAGTATTATGACAGAGAAGTTAGGGGTGGAGGAGACCCTAGGGGTATAGGCCGCAGACATCAATTCACCAGCTTTCACCAACATCTACACAGCCACCCACTTCGCCCCTTTGGATGACAGCACTTCCTGCCTCCCACTTATCAATGGGGCTCAAACCTAGATGTGAATCATCTGGCAGCCTTTTCAATCTCTGGATTCCCAGCCTGCACAAAATGAAATCTCTGGGGTGGGATCCAGGCAGCTGTAGTTTTAAATTCCCCAAGAGATTCCAATAGGTAACCAAGGCTGAGAACTATACAGAGTGAATTTCTTGGACGAGAAAAAAAAATCCTGTCTCCCACTTAAAAACAGCCTGTAGGAAGGCATGCTCAGCTAGGAGGGCTATGTCTTACTTCCTATCTGTCCTTGACTCCCTCTTTCCAGGAGGGTGGACAGGCAATTTTGTGAAAGGGAAGGAGGTCAGGAGCAACACAACAGCTATGAGTTCCTGATTGAGGGGGCTGAGCTGCTCCCCTGAAAGACAGACAGTTTACTACTGGGGGAGGCAAGCAAATAACAGCTTGGGGCAAATAAAGTGGAACATTTAGTTTAATTATTAAACCAAATAATGCACTTTACTAAGGGCTTCCTTATCTCATTCATTCTGCCATGTGATGCACATTACACTTCACTTAATTTTACCATCGAGGGACCTGAGAACAGAGAGTTTAGGTAACTTGCCCCAGTCACACTGCTAGTAATTTGCAAAGTCAAAATGAGTATCTGACACCAGAGCCTTTGGCATTTTCAGTTTGCTTAGAAATAAAAATGGGGCCACTTAATAAGATACATCCTCACTTTGAAAGTCCTACATATTCTCTATGTCCTGTTTATTCAGCTATGTCTTTTGTATATTTTTGCAAAGTAACCATTAGCTATAATAAAGTATTAGCTACCCCCAGGGCTTGGAGTTACATGAATTTTGATGATTTATTTTTACATCTTTTATACATTGTATCACTAGACATTCGTGTTTGTAACATTACTAATTGTACCTACTAATTACTTAGTTGTTATTACCTCAGACCTTTTACAATCATTGTCTTAAATCCTCACAACAATTCTGCAAGGTGCAAGGCCCAGAGAGATTAAGTAAGTTGCTGACATTTGCACAGCTAGTATGCGGCAATGCGGCCATCTGAACGCCAAAGTGCATGTTTTTTCTGTAACCTCACGGCTGAATACAATCCCCAACAGGACTCCAGCACTGGGGCCACACTCACTTGCCTGCCAGACAGAAGGTGGTGGCAGGCACCAGGGGAAGGAGGCTCTCTGCTTCCCCGGCAGGGCATCCCAAGGGTGAACTCAGAAAACACCTTCAGGAAGATGGTCAGTTTCCGTAAATCACTAATATTCTAACTGTACGCAGCATACAATTTCGGCTGGAAAAGGCTTTTTTGACCTGGTACTGGAACAAACGACTTTACAGATTATGAAGTAAGAGTCAGAGTTCCAAACAACAGACTTACAAACAAGTTTTTGGAACTCTCACCTCAACTGCAGGTCGGACACTGGCTGTTCTGAAGCGGAGGTTTCACAGGAGCGCACCTGTTTACACTGAGCTGCAGCCTTATTTGGGGATTAAACAATACCCCCGTGTGATTTCCCTGTCAGGACAGCTTGGAACTGTATTTACAAAACCGCAGTTCAAAATCCAGAGAAACCTGTTTTTCAGAGACATTTTAGGAGGAAAGATTTGCACTGCTAAGTGGATGAGTCCTTCCCGTAACCATTAAAAAACCTACCGAAACCTTGACATTGGTACAGTCATAGTGACCTTACTTTAATCCCTTTCTGCAAACAGGAAATTGGATAAACTGCCATTTTTCCATGCTGATCTATATAGCTGAGGACACTGACATTTTTCCATGTGTTTCGAAACAGTCCTGAATATCTTCTAAAAGTTCTAAATAAAAAATAACCTAAGTCAAATATGAAACTCAAGAACTAGTCGATCATGATATAAAAATTTAAAGCGTGTCAGGTTTTCTTCTTCTGAGTTTTGAGAGTGTCCACATCGGGTCAAGAGGGGTTCTAAGTGCCAGGTGGCTGGCTGGCACCGGGCCTTTCCCAGTCGCGAACCGCACTGACGCGTCAGCAGCGGACAGCACGCGTGCATGCGTGCGTGTGTGTGTGTGTGCAGGTATGCAGGAAATAAAGTACAGCAAGCTTCATGCTGCTCTATCTGCATCTTCCCTCTAGGGCGTCTGGGGACCAAGGGCCACTTTCAAGACAGTGGGCCGGAGCTCAGGCGTTCTCTGCGGCGCGGTTTTGTCTGAGCGGGCGGCAGGGCCGGGGGGGGGCGCAGAAGAGGAAGGGCAGCCTCTTGGGCATCTGCACAGCCCTACAACACGAGAACCTAGGGGGCTGTGCCCCGGCTCCCGAGGTGACGCTGCGCGCCCACGTCCCGCTCTGCACACCACTGGAGGCCCGGCCCGCGACTACGGCGCGAACGGGCCACGGGCCTTCTCAGGCTCTTTTCTTCTCCAGGCTGGTGTCTGTCCTAAGCAGCAGAGGCTGCTGCCCTGAGCGTGACCAGCCTGCACAGGGCAGCGGACTAGCAGTGAGGCTGCGGGAGCGCGCTCTGCCCTGGCGGGGTTGCGGAGCCACCGCGGGGTCCCCGGAATTGCCCTCTCGGCGCTCCGACCCGGCGGCTAGGGCGCCCAGATCCTCTACGGCTGCCGAGGGGCGCGGCGGAGGCCCACGCACCGCAGGAGCGACACGCCCAGCGGCCGAGGCCCCGCGCCCGCCGGCCTGCCCCCAGGGCGAGAGGAGCCAGGCCGCGCCACCCGGCCCTCCCCGCGCAGCCAGCCCGCCCCCGAGCGCGCCCCCGTGGAGCCAGCGCTCCCGGAGGGGAGCGGGCGCCATTACCCGAATGCGGCCGCGGGCCCCACCCGGGGCACGTGGATCCCGGGCTTCGCCGCCGCGAGGACGAGCCGCAGGGCGGCCCAGCCGCCCAGCGCAGCCACCATGGCTCCAGGTCGCGCCAGCGTCGGGAGCGCGCATGCGCCGGGCTCTACGGGTCGCCCTGAGCCCGCCGCGCCGCTCGGAAGCACGCCTGCGCCAGGTCGCCTGGCCGCCGAGCCGGGAGCTCGGCCGCCGCGGCAGCTGGGTTCTCGCTGATGAGTGACAGGAGCGGGGTTCACAGTCCCACTCGTCCCCGGCCGCAGATTGTCTTCTCTCGGGGTGCAGCCCAGCGGGCGCCGCCCCGCCGCTGCCCGTCGCCGCCTTGCCCGGGCGGTTCCGCGAGGCCGCCGCGCCGTGCGCCCCCGGGCGGGGTGGGGCGGGGCGGCCAGGGCCTCCTCTGCGTGCTGACGGGGCGTGCATTTGCTTCTGGTGATGGGAGTAAAGCCTTTCTTCATCCCACCGCACACCCGTTAGGATAGCTGTTTTCAGAAAACTCAGAAATTCCTAAGGGTTCGCCGGGTTGCGGGGAAGGTGGGGCGCTGTGCGCCGTTGGTGGGATGTAAGATGGTGCAGTGGCCGTGGAGATAGCCCCGGGATTGCTCGAGACAGTAACATGGAATTACCGTGAGAGCCGGTGATGCCGCTTCTGGGGATATACCCAGAACAGGGTCTCAGGGGTGTGTCCCCCCGTGTTCACAGCAGCATCACTCACAAAGCCCGACGGGGGAAGCCCCACGGTCCGCTGACGGATAAAGGTGTCGATAGTGTGCACACGTCCCATGGGATGCTGTTCAGCCGTGAAAGGAAGGGGATTCTGACACCTCGCGCAACATGGATGGACCCTGAGGACATCACGCTCGGTGAACCAAGCCAGTCACACAAGGACGGACGCCGCACGATTCCACTCTTGTGAGGCCACCACGGGAGCGACGTCTGCAGAGACGGAAAGCGGCCTGGCGGGGGCGGGAGCCCGAGTTGAACGGGGACGGTTTCAGTTTTGCAAGATGCAAGGAGCTCAGCGATGTGAATGCATTAGTGCCACGAAACTACACTTAAAAACGGTTAAGATAGTAATTTTATATTTCACCACAATTTTTTTTTCTTTTCCAGACCATATAATTCAAGCTTTGTAAACATTATCTGCAATTGATTCAGTGGAGGAAAAACTGCCCCGTTACTTCTGGCTGCAGTTCCGCCTGACCTTGACTGGAAGCAGTGGCGGACTCGTGGCTACTGTCCCGCCTTGGCTTGAGCTGTTCGAGATGCCGGCAGCTTCCTTGCCTGTTGCTTTATTTCCCCTCCGGGAGCCCCTTCTATTGTAATAGTCCCGCACGCACAGCGCTTTTAAGTGTCACCGCCATGCAAAGCTCTGTTGCCTAAATATCCTCACTGTCCCATGGGAGCTTTTGAGCAGTAAAGGCAGCTTTGGCTTAAATATGGAATCTGAAAAAAATATTTATATTCTCTCAAAATAAATCTATCACCTCAATTTCCTGCATAGAAGGAAAGAGAAATATATAATATTCCAGCTGATTACTATCATTTGGCTTTCAGAAATCTTTGGTGGGGGTCAACATTTCCTTATTTTTTCCTGAAATGTTGATTGGGATTTCTTGCCGGAGATGATGAGAGTTAAAAATAATTGTCCATATGATTTTAACACCAGTTATCGTACCGGTAGTAGTCAAAAGTGGTAGCACTGTGAGGTTTTAGGTTGTTGGTGTTACACTTTAAGTACAGTCACATGCTACATAATGATGTTTCAGTCAACAATGGATCACACATATGATGGTGGTCCCATAAGATATAATGGAGCTGAAAATTGCCCATCGCCTAGTGATGCTGTAGCTGTCATAATGTAGCACAACCGCCTAGTGATGCTGTAGCTGTCATAATGTAGCACAACGCGTTACATCACGTGATGCTGGGGTATACAAACCCACTGCACTGCCAGTCATATAAAAGTATAGTGCACACAGTTACGTACAGTACATAATACTGGATAATGATAATCAATGATGTTACTGGTTTATTTACTATACTACAATTTTGTGTGTGTGTGAGAGGAAGATTTGCCCTGAGCTAACCTTTGCTGCCAATCCTTTTTTCCTTTTTTGCTTCAGGAAGATCAGCCCTGAGCTAACAGCTGTGCCACTCTTCCTCGACTTTGCATGTGGGATGCCGCCACAGCATGGCTGATGAGTGGAGGTAAGTCTGTGTCTGGGATCGGATCAGTGAACCCCGGGCTGCCGAAGCAGAGCATGCAGAACTGCTGGGCCATAGGGCCAGCCCCTGTACAATTTTTATCATTATTCTAGAGTGAAAAAGTTACAGTGAGCTAAGGTTTATTATCGAAGAATTTTTCTTAGAGATTTAGTGTAGCCTAAGTGCACAGTGTTTATAAAGTCACAGAAGTGTCCGGTGATGTCCCAGGCCTTCACATTCACTCACCACTCACTCACTGACTCACCCAGAGCAACTTCTGGGCCTGCAGGCTCCATTCGTGGTAAGTGCCCTATACATGTGCCGTTATTTATCTTTTATACCATATTTTTACTGTACCTTTTCTGTGTGTAGATACATAGTACTTGCCACTGTGTTAGTTGCCTACAGTATTCAGTACAGTAACACGCTGTGCGGGTTTGTACCTAGGAGCAGCAGGCTGTACCACAGAGCCTGGGTGTGTAGTAGGCTGCACCATCTGGGTTTGTGTAAGTGCACGCTTTGATGTTCGCACGACGAAATCGCCTAACGACGCATTTCTAAGAAGGTGTATCTGTCGTTAAGCGACACATGACTGTATACACTTGCTAACTCGTCCTTTGTATCTAGCACTATTGTGCAGTTTAAAAAAGAACTACTATTTTTGTACCAGGCACCCTACGATGCATGATGTTATTTTAATCCTCACGTCAACCTTATGTCCTATTGCCCTCTCTATTTAAAGATGAAGAAATTGAGGCTAAGAGAGGTTAGGAAGCAGGCACACAGCTAAAGAGTGGCAGAGGGAAATTTAAGCCTGCTTGACTTCAGAACCCTGGGCTTGGATTACTACGTATTACAGAACTCACTGTCGTAGAACTAGCCCTTTAATGATTTCTTTGTAATCCCATGCTTCTTAAACCTTGACCATATAAACACCTATTTTTATTTACATTATTTTATAATTAGGAAAACTTTTCTTATAAATAACACACATTAAAATGTAGATCAAAATACTATTTAAACATTTTGTGAGGAAGAACTCCTTTTCTTATTCCTGAAGACCTAACTTCATATTATGGACCCAAAACAAAGATTATGACCTAACAACAAGTGGAAAACTTGCCAAGTAAGACTGTGAGAGCCGGAAGTGGGTCTTACTTACCAGCAGCAACCTTAGGATCTGAACATCAGACTTCCTTCCTTTCGTAGTCTGTGTTGTGTAACTTAATTAATTCTGCCCAAGACTAGTGTTTTTGTGGTGCTTGGGCCTTGTGTTGAAACTCCTCAGAGACAAATCTGGTTCTTTTCAGCCCAGCTTTTAGAGAGTGGGGCTGAAGGAAAGGCCTCCGAGCCATGTGTGAAGGACGGCAGTGCTGCAGGCTCTCAGGGCAGCAAGTTTCTATCCTGAGAGCCAAGAAGCACTGTCTAGAGTTTCTCCTCTTCTTACCATCAGCCTCCTCGCTCCTGCCCATAGCAGGTGGGTGAAAGGGGGTATGCCAGTCTAAGTGGTAAGGTCAGCGGAGAATCCAAAACTGTTTCCATTATACAAGCACACATTTCAATGGCTTATGTTTGATGTATAAAATTTTATTTTAAAATGTTCATTAAAAATACCTTCCACTTTTACTTCTTAACATTGATCAATTGCTTTGGAATTTAGAGAATTTAAAACACTATTAGGACACATTTAGAAAAGAAATCACACGCAGCCCCTCAAGCAAAGCCTGGGACCCTTTCCCCTCCAATCTGCCTTCAGGTCTATGGGATCTAATTCTATGTGGCAACTAAGTAGTGCGGCCAGATATGTGTGAAGAGAACTGAGGTTCATCACTTGATAGCAGGGCTCTTCTCAACTGGCACAATTTTGCCCTTCCGGGGAACATATGCCAATGTCTAGAGACATTTTTGTTTGTCACACTGGGGGGATGCGAGGATGCGGGAACAGTACTATTGGCATCTGGTGGGTAGAGGCCAGGGATGCTTCCAGACATGCTATAATGCACAGGACAGCCCCCACAACAAAGAATTACCCGGCCCAAGAGGCCAATACGGCTGAGGTTGAGAATTCCGCTTTACAGTCCCACTTCAGGGTGTGTGTGTGTGTGTGTGTGTGTATATCTGCTGGGGCTGGAGGGGATTTAGAATCAGAACCAGCAATACAGGTATCAACCCACCAGACACCAGAATCGGTTCTGTCAGCCGGACTGACCACAGTGCACTCTTCTCTCCCGCCCTCCTGGGAGGGCCAAGCACAGTGGCATACCCTATCTGTCTAGCAAAGTGCTGGCAGTGATGCTAGATGGCCCGGTCAGCTTCAGTCTTCTGGTCTTCTAGTTGTTTCATTCATTCCTGGGTTTCAGGTTGGCTTTGAAAGGTTGAGCTGCTAGAGGCACAATTACCAGACTCTGAAGCTGTCCTTTTTTTTACATCATAGCACACAGCAAAAAGTGAAAATATTTCTACAGTACCCTGGGGTAAACTGAGGAAGCTGCTCAAGAGTGATCAGCCCTGAGTCATCGCCAGGGGTCAAGAGCTAATATTCCCTGCATACGTGCTCCCTCTTCAGGGCACACAGGTTGGGAAAGTGCATTAAGTATCAGAATGCTATGAAAGAACTTAAAAACTTAATCAAGAATTTTTGTAGTCATCACAATTAGTAGCATTTCCTTGCAACAACTGCCTGGGAAATTCTGCTATTTTTGTTCTCCAGTTTTCCCCCTTTTAGTACTCCTTCAAATCCCTTCAGTTAATCTATGGAGTGGATATTGCATGTAATTCTTGAAACCTGTAGTGACTGATAGAACAACGGATACTGAAGTTAACAGATCCTATAATTTTGGAATGAACTATGGTTGTGATACAAAAAAACCTATTTGAAGAGAACTTACAATTTTACTGTACTTTGATTGTAACAGGAGCCTAGATGGAGAAGAGAGCGCAAAATAAGAAAGTTGATTTATTTTACATTCTGGGAATTTTTTTTTCTTGCTCCAACAAAACTCCAGGAAACTGAATGAAGAGCATAATGGAAAGTTATGGAATGAAGTGAAAGAAAATGATCTTTCTCAAATATCTCTTCTGATCCTTTCAAAAGCCAGTGAGGCTTCTTTTTTGACTGGGCCCTAGCCATTAATACGTCTTCCTGTTTAGTAGGTTGCTTGCTATAGATTTCCTTTCCCGTTCTGCTATGAAATGCAGGGGAATAACTTTTATACAACACAGAAACCCCATCAGTGAGGAAAGAATTCTGAACAGTTTGAGGCAGTACACTTTCAGTGGGTTACTCAGTAAGTGAAGAGGTTACTTCCTGGGGCCAGCCTGGTGGCACAGCGGTTAAGTGCACACATTCCGCTTCGGCGGCCCAGGGTTCACCGGTTGGGATCCTGGGTGCAGACATGGCACTACTTGGCACGCCATGCTGTAGCAGGCGTCCCACGTATAAAGTAGAGGAAGATGGGCACGGATGTTAGCTCAGGGCCAGTCTTCCTCAGCAGAAAGAGGAGGATTGGCAGCAGTTAGCTCAGGGCTAATCTTCCTCAAAAAAAAAAACAAAAAAAGAGATTACTTCCTGCTGCCAAAGCCCCTTCCAGAGTCAGTACTGGCTGATGTGTATCAAGTGGTTCAGAAGGTCTATTCTTGAACACTGGTGGAGCGCGTAGGCCAGCTTGCCCACTGTGGCCCCCTTGTTGCCTTCCCTCATCAGCCACCTTTGCAGCATCTGGTAAACCTTCTCTTTTAGTCCGTCTCGCTCATAGTCATGGTCAATCTCATCAATCTGAGATTCAGTGAAGCTCAGCTTACGGGCACAGTTTTTCCAGTGCTTTCCCAGATTTTCCCTGACTGGGTCCAGGTGTTTATCAGTCAGACTAGTCATATTATCTGCCAAATAGAAAAGAACAGAAAGCATCAAGCTATAACCCATTTGAACATTCTAGCTTCAAAAACCTGTATAAAGCATTCTAGGAGACAGTGAAAAAGAGAACTGAATTCCACAGTTGTCGAGTCATTGGATGATACTTTACGTGTCTGCCAGCCCATGTGGAGCTTTGCTGTGCAGGGAACCTCTTCTCCTAGCAGATGCAGCTCCGCGCCACAGCTGATGGCTTTGGGAACAAAACCCTTGCTTGGCTACTAGGCTGTTCTATCCAACCTTAGCCAGCAGTCCTGTTTATACTAGACCTTTCTGAGGTAAAGGGGGAAAACACCATTTTTGCTCCTCCTGGGCATTTTCCACTTACATCTGGCCAGAGTTAAGGTCACCCAACTCCTTGACCCAAAAGTTTACTTTCCTCTTAATCAAGGAAACCGAGCCCATGAGGTGTGAACTCATTCAATTACAATGCCTTCTCCTTGTCTTCAAGGGATGAGGTAGCTATACTCTTGAAGGTCTATTTTTGGCTTTGTCCCTCCCCTGCCCCACGGGCCGTCCTCTCTGCTCCTACAGCCATAACCTCTTTCTTTCTACTGGTCCTTCCCCTTAGGCCTTCATAAAAACAATAAAAGGAAACAGATGGCTTGATCCTCATCCCAACTCAGGAAGCTGAATATAAGGAAAGAGACATCTCATTTTCCCCCTCAGCTTCCATCTTTCCTCAGCTCCCCACAGTGTGGCTTCTGCCATCACCACGGACATCAGCAGTCCAAAACCTCCCAAGGTATTTCCCTAGTTTTGTCAATACCTGTCGGAGCAGGACCCTGGGTTTCAACAGATTCTCAAAGGTACCCTTGTCACTCCAAAAGTGAGGAACCTCTGCTCTAGGTATTTTAAAGACTATCCTTCAAATGGGTTAGTTCAGGGATTGACAACTGTGGCCTGTGGTGGCCCGCCTGGCCGGATGCCTGTTTTCGTAAACAAAGTTTTATTGGAACTCAGCCACGCCCATTCCTGTACATATTGTCTTGGGCTGCCACTGCACTACAATGTCAGCTGAGTAGTTGAAATAGAGACCTCGGGGCCAGCAAAGCCTAAAATATTTATTATCTGGCACTTGATAGAAAAAAATTTGCCAATCCTGGGGTTAATTAGAAAGTTGTGTTCTTAAATCACACTGTTTTGGCCTCATGACTACTATTCCCAGATTGTATTTTGGGACCAATGCTATGAGCCTGGAGAGTAAGACCCTATAAGAGGAAGCCCTCTTATGTTCACAGAGGTGCTGTTGAGGGCATAGTCTTCTATCTTTTACAGAATCCCTTTTGATGAGGACCTGAGGAAGCGCTCTCTCCTAGGACTGAGTGGTGATATTGATGATGATGATGATATTGTTTAACACTTTTATAGCTCTTACTATGTGCTAGTCAGTGTTCTAAGCTCTTTATACGTACTGACTCATTTATAATTTTCACAACAAATCCTTAAATATAATTATCTCCATATTAAATATAAATAAATTACAAAGGAATTACATTTATGTGGGAATTACAGAGATACATGTGGGAAACATGGGACAACTTTCAGGGAGAATAAGCAGAGAAATTTTAGGATTCCACTATATCCCTCTCAACAAGTAAGAAAGTTCAAGGTTGCTAGACAATGGGTCCTTAAAGGGTATCTTACCAAAGATATCTTGGTACTTAGAAGCTGGCTCTTGCTTCAGGTTCATGTATGTGCCGTCCAGTAGTTGGGAAGTCATTCCGCCAATCTCCATATAATTATAGTGTCCAATCTGAATGCCAGTGCTGTTGCAGATGGTATACTTTGCAGACTCATCTGAATAGAGAGAAACACACAGCTAAGTACATCTAGATTGAAAGCAAGAGGAAAAAACCCAACAAGGTAAAGGGGAAAGGCTTTACTCCAAATGTTTAAGTTAAATTATTTATGCTATGACACCCTTTGAAATTTTCTTCTTTAAAATGTGGCTAAACCACCTCACATCCATTAGGATGGCAACTATCAAAAAACCCAGAAAATAACAAGTATTGGCAAGCATGTAGAGAAATTGGAACCCTCGTAGGCTGCTGGTGGGAATATAAAATGGTGCAGCTACTGTGAAAAACAGTATGGTGGTTCCTCAAAAAATTAAAAATAGAATGACCATATGATCCAGCAATTCCAGTTCTGGGTATATACCCCAAAGAATTTAAAGCAGGAGCTTGAACAGATATTTATACACCCATGTTTATAGCAGCATTATTCACAATAGCCAAAAGTGGAAGACACCCAAGTATCTATCAACAGATGATGGATAAACAAAATGTGATCTATATATACAATGGAATATTACTCAGCCTTAGAAAGTAAGGAAATTCTGACACATGCTACAATGTGCATGAACCTTTAGGACATTGTGCTAAGTGAAGTAAGCCAGTCACAAATGGACAAATACCATAAGATCACTTATATGAGGTCCCTAGAGGAGTCAGATTCCTAGCGACAGAAAGTGGAAGGTTGGTTGTCAGGGGCTGGGAAGAAGGAGGAAAATGGAATTATTGTCTGATGAATACAGACTTTCAGTTTTGGAAGATGAAAAGAGTTCTGGTGATGATGGTAGCCCAACAATGTGGTTTTCGTCACAAATGGTATTCTTTGGCCTATATAAGATAAGAAATAAAAATATCCAAGACTTATTTCTTACCTTCAGAAAATAGCAAGTACGTAAAAGTATATAAGCAGATACTGTTACATCAGAGATTGGGTAAAATGGGAATACTGTGATTCAGGTCACAGTGGAAATGCCTACTTGTTACAAGAACCTGTAACCTAACACTTGTGGGCAGCTGCTGTGAATCCTACCCAAACTGAAATATGCCCGGGACAAGTGGTCTGATGAAGACTATTCCATGGTGGCAAGTTGCCGCTGAAGACTCCAAACAAAGACTCCTTTGTTACCTTATAGACTACAACAGACCTAATGGCTGCTTTATTTTCAGAAAAATAAAAAGAAGATAAGGTCGTGACTGAAAGGTCTGTTTACCTCTTGATGGGAAGGAGATGAACGGAATGGTGGGTGTGTTTCCCAGGAGGTTGGTCTCAGGCACTGGAGTTTTATGCATGCTTGACATATGGCTTGGATTTGCCCCATACCTAGCTCTTGGACCTGCTGTTCCCAGATCCAATGGTCTTGTTCCAAAACCATGTGGACTATATGATCCATTGTGCCCGTATGATACGTGGGGTTGGCTGGTTAGCCCCGTTGGTTGGTGTACTGCATTAGCATGACTGTTTGCACTGGGATGAGTTAGGCCTTTAATCCCTGAGTTCTGAACATTATCATAAGGCCTCTGCTGTGCAAAAGGGTCATGGGAGACCCTTCGTCTCCTTTCCTCCTCTCTATTGTAAGCCACGTTCTGTCTGGGTTGCTGTTTTGTCTGCCTGTCCATGCGGCTGCCATAAAGATGGTAGTTGGCTTCCTCCTGGAGTTTACTCTGCAGGCTGAGCTCATTCTCCTCTTGCTGGTGCTCTGAGGCGGGAGCAAACCAGGACTCCTCCACGGGACCCATCCCGAGTCCCTGGGAACTGTGCAGCGAACTGGGCTGTTCTGTGGCTGAGAAGAAATGATCAACATTGGAAAGAGTTTCATGAAACATTAAACAGTAAAATGAAACCTGAGCACCATCATGAAGCTGTACCTCCGACAACATCCTGAAAGCTTTGAGAACAAGTAAAAGCACTTACTAGATGGTCCTCTTCCTACAAGTTATATAGATAATAAGTGGGAGCTCCTGCCTGGCAGTGAGAAGGCACTAGGGAAATTATAGCAAGTGACAGAAAAGTGGGTGTCGGAGGAATGACCCAGGAAGAAAGGGACTCGTGCTGGAGCAGAGAAGGTGGTTGCCTCCTTGGTGTGATGCAGGGCTGCAAAATAAGAACAGCAGCAGCTCTGTGCTAAGCACCCTCCATGGATTTCTCATGCTTTAAAAGCCCTGTGAGAGTAAGAGCAATTATCATCACACTTGGATGGACGAGGTTTACAAGAGGCGAAGTAATTTGCCCCAGATCAGGGTTAATAAGTAGCTTTGACATCCTGTACGCTGCCTTCCCCTTTGTTACAATGAAATCCCTGCCTGAAGCTGGACGCACCGCTCTGCTTGTGCTCTGCATCCAGTCACCTCTGACCTTCTCAAACACTCTGCTCCCACATATGTCCCCTTCTTTTTCCTGAATCGTCACTTTCTCCCTAGCAGACATATTAGGTCTCTTATGCCAAAGATACTTTATGACTTTGATATACACGTTGCTACTTAATATTTCAAATATACGTATCTTGACTCCTGAATATATTATAAACTCCTTTAAGGTAGGTGTTACATTATATGGCTTCTTCCGTTTCCCATATGGTCATGAATAGTATTTTAGAAAGTAGAGGGAATGAATGAGCAACTGATTTTCAATCGTAGTATGTTACCTGAATTTGACCTGCTTGGAGGTATTGCTACACAATCAATTTGGAGAGACTGCATTCTCTTCACAAGCGCACTTTGGTCTGGATACTCTTTCTATAATTAAGAGCATAAATACACACTTTAGTATAAATAGCAGAAAATAGTTCCAGAAAATTATTATAAGAATGAATCTTTTTAGAAGGTAGAAATTTCACATAGCTCTTAGAAGCTGTAAATATTTTTAAAAAAAATAAACATTTTTGGAGTCACCCTGGTGGCAGAGTGGTTGTTTGCTCACTCCGCTTCTGTGGCCTGGGATTCACAGGTTCAGATCCCGGGTGAGGACCTACACACTGCTAATCAAGCCATACTGTGGTGGCATCCCACATACGAAATAGAGGAAGATTGGCATAGATGTTAGCTCACTGACAATCTTTCTCAAGCAAAAGGAGGAAGACTGGTAATGGATGTTAGCTCAGGGCCAATCTTCCTCACCAAAAAAAATAATAAATGTTTTTCCCAAATAGCCAAAACAATCTTTAAAAAGAACAAAGTTGGAAGGCTCACACTTCCTGATTTCAAAACCCACTACAAACCTACAGTAATTAAGGGGCCGGCCAGGTGGTGTAATGGTCAAGTTCACACCCTCTGCTTTGGTGGCCCAGGGTTCGTGGGTTCAGATCCCGGGCGTGGACCTAGCATTGCCTGTCAAGCCATGCTGTGGCAGCATCCCACATAAAATAGAGGAAGACTGGCACAGATGTTAGTTAGGGCCAATCCCTCCCCTCCCCCAACACCCACAAAGCTTCATTAATCAAAACAGTATAGTATTGGCCTAAGGACAGACATATAGACCAATGGAACATAAAAGAGAATCCAGAAATAAACCCTTGCATATATGGCCAATTGATTTTCAACAGTGGTGTCAAGATCATTCAATGGGGGAAAACTGGATATCCACATGTAAAAGAATGAAGCTGGGCCTTTATCTTTCAACTTATACAAAAATGAACCAAATGGATCAAAGGTCTAAGCTTAAGAGCTAAAACTATGTAAGTATTAGAAGAAAACAGGAGAAGAGCTTCATGACATCGGATTTGACAATGATTTCTTAGATACGACACCAAAGGCACAGGCAACAAAATGAAAATAAACTGGACTACATCAAAATTAAAACCTTCTGTGCATCAAAGGACACTATCAAGAGAGTGAAAAGACAACCTACAGAATAGGAAAAAAATTGGAAATCATATGTATCTGATAAGGGATGAATATCCAGATTATATAAAGAATTCAACAAGAAAAAACAAACAATCCAATTCAAAAACGGGCAAAGGACTTGACTAGACATTTCTCCAAAGAAGATACACAAATGGCTAATAAGTACATGAAAAGATGCTCAACATCATTAGTCATTAGGACAGTGCAAATCAAAACCACCATGAGATATATACCACTCCACACTCTTTAGAATGGCTATTATTAAAAACAAAACTAAACCCACAAACTGAAAAGGGTCGGTGAGAACGTAGAGAAATTGGAACCCTTGTGCATTGCTGGTGGGAATGTAAAATGGTACAGCTGTTAAGGAAAACAGTTTGATGGTTCCTCAAAAAGTTAAGCATAGAATTATCGTACAATCCAGCAATTCCACTCCTAGGTATATACCCAAAAGAATTTACCTGAAATATCCTGAAAGCAGGGACCCAAAAAGATACTTATATACAATGTTCATAGCAGCACTGTTCATTATAGATAAAAGGTGGAAACAACCCAAGTATCTATCAGCAGATGAATGGATAAACAAAATGTGTTATATCCATACAATGGAATATTATTCAGCCTTAAAAAGGAATGAAATTCTCATACATGCTACAAAATCAATGAACCCTGAAAACACTATACTAAGTGAAATATGCTAGACACAAAAAGACAAATATTGTATGATCCCACGTCTATGAATTACCTAGAACAGGTAAATTCATAGAGATAGAAGGTAAAATAGAGGTTACCAGGGCCTGGGGAGAGGGAGGAATGGGGAATTGTTTAATGGGTACAGAGTTTCTGTTTGGGGTAATAAAAATGTTCTGGAAAATAGATACTGGTGATGGTCGCACAGTACTGTAAATGTACTTAATGCCACTGAATTATACACTTAAAATGGTTAAGATGGTAAATTTTATGTTCTGTATATTTTACCACAATAAAAAAAGAAGCCTTTTCCCCTATAGGAGTAATAATACTCATTAGAGAAAATATGGAAAATGTAAAGAATTATACTTAAAGAAACCTACACAGAGTGCCTTCACTCAAAGGAAAAATTAACATTTTGGTATTTCCTTCAAGTTTTTTTCCTAATCATATTTGCATTTTGCTCTTAACAGAAAGCCTGCTACATAGATAGGTGGTCAAAAATATTCACTGAATGAATATATGAGTGATTTGGGAAGAGAATGACAGAAGACAGTAATTATGTACATACTTTGTAGCATTTTGTTTACTGCTTTTTACTTAATATGATAAGCATTTTTATGTTAATTTGTGAAAGCAATTTTTTATAGTTATTTTTATCACACAAAATATATAAATACAAATTCCTTTTAAATGACTCAAACTGTGCAGACTCCACACAGAGCAACATTTCAATGTCATTCTTTCCAGCCCCCACTCTCTTCCACTTCCTAGAGGTAATCCTTATCCAGAGTGTGTTGTGCATCCTTTTTTTCTCTCTCTAGGCATTTGCATATATATTCTGAAAATAGACATATATATATTATTTAACATCAAAAGGATCACATTCTAAGTATTGTATTTTTTTTGAAGACTGGCACTGAGCTAACATCTGTTGCCAATCTTCCTCTTTTTTTCCCTCTCCAAAGTACCAGTACCTAGTTGTATATCCTAGTTGTAAGTCATTCTAGTTCTTCTATGTGGGATGCCACCATCAAGCATGGCGTGATGAGCGGGGTTTGCCTCTGAGGCCAGGATCCAAACCGGTGAACCTGGAGCCACCAAAGCAGAGCACGCAAACTTAACCACTTGGCCACAGGGCTAGCCCTCTCAGTATTGTTTTGTGACTTATGTTTTTACTGACAACAAGCCTTGAAGATATTTCCATGTCATTATATGTTAGTTTCTACCTCTTTCTTTTAAACGGCTACAGAGTATTCTGTAGTTTGTATGAACCATAATTTAAGGCATCTACTTATGGACATTTGGGTCATTTCCAATTTTTTACTCTTACAAATTAAGGTGCAAGGAACTCCTGGAGCTACATCTTTGAGCATACATGTGAGTAGGATAGATTACTAAGAGTATAATTGCAGCAAAAGAGATGTGCTTTTAAGGGTTTGATAGATGCTTCACCTTCAACTTCACCGATTTACACCCTTACCAAGACTGCCCGTTATTCTGCATTGTCACCAACACTTGATATCATTAGTCTTTCAAAAATGTCAATCAAATGGATGACAAATTATAACCAATTCATTTTGCTTTTCTCTGCCATTGAGGCCAAATATCTTTTCCAAAGTTTGTTGGTCAATGATATTTCTTCTTTGAATCATCTGTCTGTATTCTTTGCCTATTTTTTCATTTGGGTTATTTTTTGTTTTTGATTTGTAGGCACCCATGATATATTCTGGATGTTAATCATTTGTTAAACACAGTGAAAGTATTTTCTCCTTTTCAACTACTTTTTACTTTCACGAGGTCAAATACAATAATCTTTTCCTTTGTCTCACGAATTTCCTGTCTAGCTTAAGAAATATCCATAGACCTGATTTTGGACTTGATAGCAGACACAGCATGTGTGCCCCTCAAATTCCTCTTCAAGGAAGGATTTGCTGCTTGGTTGCAAGGAGTTCAGTCAGTAAACAGACTCCAGCTGTCGGTTCCTTCAGTCTGCTCAGCTGCCACGGGCTGTCTCACTCAAGGCACTCCCCTCCTGGAGAGCCCACACTCAGTGACCAAGACAGGTAAGGCTGTAAAGGCCTGGCCATTTCCCACCAACATGGGACAAGCCCAAGGGGCAACATGTGCTCAGAACTCCACACCTGCCAGGTTGCCAAAGAGCTCTGTCAGGCATGACTGCCCTTTGACTTCTTCCTCTGCTCATTCCTTGCAGCGCAATCTCCATCTCAGGGGCTCCTTCTGGAGAACCCAACCTGCAAAAAACTATTCTCTCCTATTATCTATTTGATCCTTGTTCTATTACTGAACTGTTTTAATTTCCTTCTTCAAAATTTTCTTGGCTATCTTTGTACATTTTTTTCTTTCACATAAACTTAAGAATCAGCTTGTTGAGTTCCATAAACAACTTGGTTGGGATTTTAATTAGGACTGCAGTCCGTTTATGAACTACACTGGAGAGAACTGGCAGCTTTGGCGTATCGAGTGTCCCCATCCCTCACCACACTCCACCACTTGTTCAGACTTCTCTGTCCTTCAGTGAGGTCTGCCATGTGTGCCGGTCTACAGACAGGCAATATTACCTCTTTGCATTTTAATTTACATTTCCTTCATTACTAGTTAAGGCTGTGCACTTTTTTGGTATGTTTATTGGCCATTTAAATATTCTATTTTGTGAAATGCCCATTTAAATATTTCATTCACTTGTTAATTGGTCTATCTTTTCCTTGTTGATTTATAAGGTTTTTCTAGATGGTATGTACTCAAGTGCTTTGTCAGGTAACGTGTGTGCCACACTATCTTCTCCCATTCTGTGGCTTGTCTTTCCATTCTTTTAATGGTTTCCTTTGATGAATAAAAGCTCTTTAATTAATCAAATTGATCAATTTTTATTATTAAAGTTAATGCTTTTGTGTCTTAGTGAAGAAACCATTCCCCACCCTGAGGTAACAAAGAAATTCTCGTATATTTTCCAATAGCTTTATAATTTGTCTTTCACATTTATGTCAGTGATCAACCTGGAGTTGGTTTTTTGTCTGCACAAGGTAGAGTCCAATTCCACATTTTTTCCCCATGTGGATACCAAACTGTCTCAGTAGCATTTACTGAAAAGATCATCATTTCTTCAGTGCTCTGTAGTGCCATCTCTGTCAAAACCAATATACGTGTGGATCTGTTTGGGGGCTTTCAATACCCTTCCAATTGCCTCTGTCTACTCTACACCAATAACATTCTGTCTGAATTAGTACAGCTTTACAATAATTCTTGATAAGAATCTGATAAGGCAAGACCTCCCTCACCCCTAGTCTTGTTCTTCTTCAAGAGTATCTTGGCTATTCTTGCTCCTTCTTTACCTGTCCATATGGATTTCAGAATTAGTTTGTCAAGTTCCAGTTCCCCCACCCACTTACATCTTCTTTTTCAAGTTTGGGAATCAAGGTTATGCTTGTCTCATCAAATGACTTTGGGAGAGTTCCCTCTTCTCTATTTGGACAAATTTGTATAAGATTGGGATAATCTCTTCATTGAATATTTGACAGAAATCACTGATGAAGCTTTCTGGTTGTAGAATTTTCTCTGTGGGAAGATTTTTGATCACTGATTCAATCTCTTTTAATGGTTACAGAAATATTCAAGTTTTCTATCTCTGAGTTAGTTTTGTTAAGCTATACTTTTTTTTTTTAGAAATATGTCCATTTTCTCTAATTTTTAAAATTAATTAGTAAAAAGTTGTCCATAATATCTTCTTAATACCATTTTGATGTGTGCAGAAGCTGTAGTAATGCCTCCTTATTCATTATTTCAGTCTTCACTCTGTTTTTCTTGATCAATCTTAGTCAATTTTATTAGCCTTTTCAAAAAACCAACATTTAGCTTTTTTGATCCTCTATTAGCTGTTTTCTGTCACTAATTGATACTCTTTTCTTTATTATTTACTGCTATTTTCTCTAGGTTTATTTTGCTAACTTCATCAAATGAATGCTTAGCTAAATAATTTTTAGCCATATATATATACACATACACACACATATACATGTATATATATTTTATAGTATTTTAAGTATTTCATTTGCTCAAATTTGTTAATCATATTCTTCAATTCTATAACCTTACGGATTTTTTTTGTCTATTTGTTCTATCAATTAAAGAGAAACTTGTATTAAAATCTCCAATTATGATTGTGGATTTGTCTATTTCTCCTTTGAGTTCTGTCAATTTTATTTTGAGGCCATGTTATTAAGGGCATATACCTATTTAAACCTGTTGTTATCTTCCTGGTGAACTAAGCCTTTTAACATTATGAAATATTCTTGACTGTTTGTAGTAATGCTTTTTTATTTTCTTGGTTTGCACTGGTTATCTCCCTTCTATAGTGTAGGTCCCTCGAAAGTGTGGCAATTCTTGACTTTCTGACTTCTTTATTTATTCTTGTATTTTAAAATGTTTCTGTCTGTTTTATTTACAGTAGTCTCCTTTTCATGCTTATTGCGGGATGCTGCTGTAGGACTCATACAGTACGTCCTGAGTGTGTATTTAGGGGAAATCTTTGTTCCTTTTGGCTGGTTAGTTGATAACCAGTCTCTTTGTTTTTGCTGGCAAACATTCACCCTGAGCTAACATCTGTTGCCAATCTTCCTCTCTCTCCTTTTTCGTTTTTCCTCCCCAAAGTCCCAGTACATAGTTGTATATTCTACTTTTAGGTCCTTCTAGTTCTTCTATGTGAGGCACTGCCACAGCATGGCAACTGACAGATGAGCGGTGTGGTTCCAGGAGCAGGAACCAAACCTGGGCTGCCAAAGAGGAGTGCACCCAACTTTAACCACTAGGCCATCAGGGCTGGCTTGGTAACTGGTCTTTATACCAAACTCACTGCTTCAAGCCCAGGCAGATGTTGCTCCCATCTGTTGCTTAGCACAAGGGAAATGGGAGGAGGAGCCAACTTTTATAACTGGCACAATCATGTCTCCCAAAGGACTGTCCCTGCCAACACCCCAGGTGACCATACTGTTTCTTCTATACATTGATCCATGACTTGTTCCTCCAATAATTCTCCTTCAGTGTTATGTTCTGGGTTAGCACTTTTTTCCCTTTACATGGTCTTAGCAGATGTAATTCTGTTGGCTTTCTATACTTTGAGAACTCCTCAAAATGACTGATCCACCTATACTACTTCCCATTATCTTCTAGTGACATTGTACTTTTGTTTTCATATTGCTATATATATTTTCTCCTGTTTCACTAGTTTTGGTGGATGAATGGGTCCAGCATGCCAACTTGATATCTGCATAAAATTGTTAATTCTGTTGTATGCAGTTACCAAGCTAGCTTACCTCAAATCTCAGCAACAAATTATATTGCTTTTGTTTTCATGCTTGATAATAGATATGCTTTGATATGTTAAGATTTTGACCACCTGTTGTAACAACCTACCTTTAAACTCTTCACATCTTCTTCTACATTTTCTTCTAATTGATCTAAGTAAAAAGGCCTGAAGTTTTCTTCAATGCCTATATGAAAAAAACAGTACTTTAAGTTTCTTAAGTACTTGCTACAATAAAATTAAAATATCAGTAATCTATTATTGAATTACTTATCTTAATCTGTCTGCAAAGTGGTAAAATAAAAATGTAAACACCAAATCCCTGTCTTTGACAACGAGACTAACAAAACGAATAACTAGGTAGACAGAACAAGGGTTAGGATAACAGTGGAAACCAAGGGCTCCTGCCTGATAGCATGTAGTTTCTCTGGCTGTGGCACAAAGCCCTGTCTATGTGGGTTCATCTCCAAGTGAACAAAGATGGGTGGGTTCCTTGTTTCTGTCACTCTGGCATCAGATTATTATAGGATGGGAGACTCAGAATAAGGATTTGGTGTAAAGAGTCAGAGCTGTTAGCCTTAAAAAAAAAAAAAGGCAACTTCCACTTCTGATAAGATGGAGATGTACTTTTCCTTATTTCTTCTGCTAAGTACAATAAGAACCCATAGATATTATATATAAAACAAACATAAGGAGATTCCGAAAGGAGGAGAGATGACAGCTCGGGACTTGGGATCTGAGGAAGACAGAGCAGCGAGATCACTGTGTTTTCTTTTTGCCTCAAGGATCCCAGACTTGGAGCTGAAGAAGCTGGCAACCCAACAAAAAAAGCCATCAAAAGCCTATTCTTTCTAGCCAGAGGACTCAGCAAAGGGCAGCCTAGCAAGACAGAAAATCTTTGGTCAAGAACTGCTGTACTCCAGCCAAACACCACAGAAAATACTGTGGCCCCACCCTCACCCCTACTAATGAAGGCCAAGTAGGAGCTGAGACTTCCAACCGCGTGGGACAGCAACAGTGCTGCAACACCCCACCAGGGTGATGTCAGAGAAGGCCAAACAGGAAGCCAGGGCTCTCCTTCCTGCCAGATGGCAACAACCCCCTCCACTCTTGTGGGGTCAGTGGACTATGAGGCAAACTAGACTTGCACCCTGATCTTGCAGTAATAAGACACCTCTTCCCAAAGTGTCAGAGGAGGCCTAGTGGAGAGCCAGGACTTTCACCTCCATTGGGGTGTCTATGGAGTCCATATGGACCCCAGTGGAACCCCCCCCCCCCACCAACCATAATGAGGACAGGTGTCAATAGGGCTGAGTGGGGAATCTAGATTTCTACCTCCACCTGGCATTACCAAGTTGCAGCCACCCTTCTAGTGCCAAAGCAGTGTCAGAAAAGGCAACTAAAAGAGAGGCCTAAAGAAGATACAGAATCTCAAAATATAGTAAAACAATTTATAAGTTTCGATAGAAAAATCACTCATCATCAGAAAGATCTCAAACTGAAAGAAAAAAGACAATCAATAGATGCCAACAGTAAGATGACAAACATGTTAGAAGTACCTGTCAAAGATTGTTACAGTGCCGCAATAAAAGCGCTTAATTAACGGGCTGGCCAGCAGCACAGCAGTTAAGTTTGCACACTCTGCTCCGGCAGCCCAGGGTTCGTGGGTTTGGATCCTCGGCACGGACCTACACACCACTCATCATGCTAGGCTGTGGCAGGCATCCCACATACAGAAAGTAGAGGAAGGTGGGGCTGGCCTGGTGGCATAGCAGTTAAGTTTGTGTGCTCCCCTTTAGCAGCCCAGGGTTCACTGGTTCAGATCCCAGGCGTAGACCTACACACCGCTTATCAAGCCATGCTGTGGCAGGCATCCCACATATAAAGTAGAGGAAGATGGGCACAGATGTTAGCTCAGGGCCAATCTTCTTCTTCAAAAAAAAAAAGCTTCATTAAGCAATTAAGAACAAGTTTGAAAGAAACCAAAAAGTAAAAAGTCTCAGCAAAGAAATAGAAGACATAAAAGAAATTTCAATAAAACTTTAGAACTGAAAAATATGATAAACCAAAATAAAAAGCTCAGTGGGATGAGCTCAATAGCAGAATGAAGAAGACAGAGAAAAGTCAGTGAGCTAAAAGAAAGAACAACAGAAATCACCTAATCTGATTGAGAGAGAGAAACTGAGAAAAAAAATGTAGAGAGTCTCAGGGACATGTGGGACTATAACAAAAGATTTAGTATTTCTGTCATCAGCATCCTGGAAAGAAAGGAAAAAGACAGTGGGGCTGAAAAAGTACTTTACGAAATAATGGCTGACAGCTTCCCAAATTTGGTAAGAGACATAAACCTACAGATTCGAAAAGCTGAGCAAAACCCAAACAAAATAAACCCAAAGATCCATACCAAGATAAATAATAATTAAACCTCTGAAAAATAAAGAGAAAGAAAGAATCTTGAAAGCAGCAAGGTACACCTTACTTATAAGGGAAAAAACCAATTCAAATGACAGAGGATTTCTCAACTGAAACAATGGAGCCAGAAGGAAGTGGCACAATATTTTTTAAGAGCTAAAAGAAAGAACTGTCAACCCAGAAGCCTACACCCAGCAAAAATGTCCTTCAGGAACAAAGAAGAGATCCAGACATTCTCAAGGGAAGGCACACTAAGAGAATTTGTCCCCAGCAGACACACCCTAAAAGAATAACTAAAGAACGCTAAAGAAAAAGGCAACGATAAAAGACACCTTGCAACATCAGGGAGGAAGAAATAACACACGTGGCATAATAAAAATTACTATCTGGTCCTTCCCCAGGTTTGCTTGGTTCACAGTAGGGAGCTCCTCAAATCCCTGAAACCTCTTAAGTGACAAGAATGTCTTTTCTATGGTGATGAGATGGCTCCTGGCTCAGGGTGGGAGGGGGAAGGCTAGACACCTTCAGGATGGAGGCTGGTCACCAGGAAGACCTAGCCATGATTATAGGGTTGGAACTTTCAGCACCACCCCCTGACCTCTATGGAGGGAAGGGGACTGGAGAATGACCAACGATTTAACAAATCATGCCTACCTAAGGAGCCTCCATGAAAACCTCTAAACAATGGGGCTTGGAGAACTTCCGGGTCGGTGAATACACTGAAGTGCTGGAAAGTGGCATGCCTAGAGAGAGCACAGAGGCTCTGTGGCACACCCCCCAATGCCTTGCTTTATGCATCTCTTCCATCTGGCTGTTCCTGAGTTGTATCCTTTATAATGAACAGTAAATGTAAGTAAAATATTCTCCTGAGTTCTGTGAGTTGTTCTTGTAAATTATCAAAGCTGAGGGGATGTTGTGAGGACTCCCAAATTCATGTTTGGCTGGGAAGAGGTATGGGTAGCCTGGGCACCCTATCTGCATCCAATTTCTGAAGTGGGGACAATCTTGCAGCAGGACCAAGCCCTGAAACCTGTGGAGTCTGACGATGACTCCAAGCAGTTAGCGTCAGAATTTAACTGAATTCCAGGACACCCAGTTAGTGAGACGTCTGTCAGAGGCAGTATTACAAAAAAGACACCACAACACAATAATCAAAAAAATGAGTAAATATAATAGGCTTTCCTTCTCCTTTTGAGTTTTCCAAACTATGATTGACAGTTGAAGCAAAACTGTAACATTCTCTGATGCATTCTAAATGTGTGTAGACAAAATATTTAAGGCAATTATATACAGGGAAAGGTAAAGGAAAGTAAAGAGAGTAAATTTTTTATACTTCACTCTAACCAGTAAAATAATGACATCAGTAGACTATGATAAATTATGTAAAAATAATGTAATACCTAGAGCATCCATTAGAAAAACTATACACAAAAATACAATAGATAAATCAAATTGGAATTCTAAAAAATGTTCAAGAACCCACAAAAAGGCAGGAAAAAGAAAACAAAGAAATGAAAAACAGAAAGAGCAAACACAAAACAAAATAAAATGGCAGATATGATCCCCAACATATCAATAATTACATTAAATGTAAATAGTCTACAAACACCAATCAAAAGACAGAGATCGGCAGAACAGATTTAAAAAAGTGACCCAACTATATGCTGTCACAAAAAACTCACTTCACATATAATGATTACAGGCAGCTGAAAGTAAAAAGGGAAAGATATATCATGTAAACATTAATAAAAGGAAAGCAGGGTAACCATATTAATACCCAATAAAGTAGACTTCAGAGCAAAGATTACCAGAGACAGAAAAGGACATTTATATAATGATAAAAGGATTGATCCACCAAGACAGAGCAATCCTAAATGTATATGCACCAAACAACAGAGATGCAAAAGACGATAGAGCTAAAAGCAGAAATAGACAAATTCACAATTGTAGTTGAGGGACTTGAACACCCCTCCCTCAACAACTGAAAGAACAACTTGACAGAAAGTCAGTGAAGATACCGAAGAACTCAACAATACCATCAACTAACAGGATCTAATTGGAATTTACAGAACAATCCACCCCATAACCATAGAATACCCATTCCTTTCAAGTGCCCACAGGACATATACCAAGATACACAATATTCAGGGCATAAAATAAACCTCAACAAAGTTGAAAAAATTGAAACACACAAATGTGATTTCTGACTACAGTGAAATCAAGCTATAAATCAGTAACAAAGATAAGAGGAAAATGTCCAAACTCTTGGAAATTAACCATCACACTTCTAAATAATACATGGATAAAAGAGAAAGTCTCAACAAAAATAAAAAAATGCTTTAAGTGAATGAAAATAAAAACAATATAGCAAAATTTGTGGGACACAACTAAAGCAGTGCTGAGAGGGAAATTCATGGCATTAAATGTATGAAAACAATAAACATTAGAAAAGAGAAAAGGTTTCAAAATCAATAATCTAAGTTCCCACCTCAAGAACCTAGAAAATAAAAGCAAAACAAACACAAAGCAAGTAGAAGAAAGGAAATAATAAAGATAAGAGCAGGAATAAATGAAATGGAAAACATAGAAACAATAGAGGAAATCAATGAAACAAAAAGCTGGTTCTTTGAAAAGATCAATAAAACCAACAAAGAAAAACAGACGACACAAATTCCCAATATCAGGAATGAAACAGAGGGCGTTGCTAGAGACCCTGCAGATATCTAAAGGATAATAAGGGAGACTACAAACAACTCTACACACATAATTTCACAAGTCAGATGAAATATTCCATTTCCTCAAAAAATACAAACTACCACAACTACTCTGATATAAAACAGATCATCTGAATAGCCCTATAACTATTAAGGAAATTGAACTTCATAATTTAAAAACTCCCAAAAAAGAAATCTCAGGGTAAGATGGTTTCATGGGAGAATTCTACCAAACTTTTAAAGAATTAACATTAATTATACACTTCTAGAAAATAGAAGAGGAAGGAAAACTTCTCAATTTATTTTACGAAGCCATTATTGACTCTGACATCAAAACCAGACAAAGATAATACAAAAAGCAGAAAGCTATAGAGAAGTATCCTCATGAATATACATGAAAGTCTTAGCGAAACATTAGCAAATGGAGTTCAGCAATATACAAAAAGAATTATACACCATGACCAACAGGCTTTATTCCAGGGATGTGAGGCTGGCTCAGTATTCAAAAATCAACTGATGTAATTAATCTACCACATTAACAGGTTAAAGAAGGGAAATCACAGCATCCTATCAATCAGTCCAGAAAAAGCATGTGACAACATTCACCATCCACATTCATGATAAAAACTCCGAAATAAGAGGAAGAGATATGGTGAACTTCCTCAAGAAGACAGAATCTATGAAATCCCCACAGCTAACATCACACTTCCTGCTCTCCCCTAAGACTGAGAACCAAGTGAAGATGTCTGCTCTCGCTGCTCTTATTCAAGATAGTGCTAGTTGTTCTTCTGTTAGCAATAATTTTCTATGACTCTCTTACAAAAAAAAATGGACTTAAGATACACTTAAATGTAAAACTGTAAGAATTTTAGAACATAAAAGAAAATCTTTGGGATCTAACCCTGACAGTGTTCTTAGACTTGACACCAAAAATACAATTCATAAAAAGAAAAATTAATAAACTAGACTTCATCAAAATGAAAAACTTTTACTCCATGAGAGACTTTGCTAAAACGATGAAAAAACAAGCTACAGATTGGGAGAAAATATTTGCAAACCACACATCTAACAAAAGAATAGTACATAGAATATATAAAGAACACTCAAAATTCAACAGTAAAAAAGCAAGCAATCCAAATGGAAAATGGGCAAAAGACATAAAGTGACATTCCACCAAAGAAGATAAACAGATGGCAACTAAGTACATGAGAAGATATTCAATATTATTAGCCATTAGAGAAATGCAAATTAAAACCACAAGGAGATATCACACTACATACCTATCAGAATGGCTAAAATAAAAAATAGCAACAACATCAAATGCTGGCAAGGATGCAGAAAAACTGAATCACTCATACATTGCTGGTGGGACTATAAAATGGCACAGCCACACTGGAAAACCGTTTGGCAGTTTCTTAAAAACAAAAAACTATGCATGAAACTACCATATGACCTACCTATTTTACTCCTGGGTATTTATTCCAGAGAAATACTTGTATTTTTGTGTATATTATACACAAAAACCTGTTACATGAATATTTACAGTAGCTTTATCCTATTAGTCCAAACTGGAAACAAACCAGATTGTCTCCTTCAAGGAGTGAATATGCAAACTGTGGCAACTCCACATCATGGAATATGACTCAATAACAAAAAGGAACGAACCACTGAGACACACAACAACCCGGGTGAATCTCCAGAGAATTACACTGAGCGGCAATCCCCAAAGGTCTATCATGATGCTGTTTATGTAACATTCTTGAAATGACAAATGACAGAAATGAAGACTGGATTAGTGGTTGTCAGAGGTGAAGGAGGCAGTCATTTCGGGAGGGAAGTGGGAGTGGCTAGAAAACGGCAACTGGGAGGGACCCTTGTGGTGATGGAAATGTTCTGTATCTGACTATATCAATGTCAGTATCCTGGTTGTAATACTGTGCTGTAGCTTGGCCTAGTTTGGGGAAACAAGGTAAAGGGTCCATGGGACATCCCTGTGTTATTTTTTACAATTACATGTAAATGTACAATTATCTCAAAAATAAGAACTTTAACTTAAAAAAAAAAAAGCGAAAAAGGCATGAGAGAAGAGAACAAGATAAGCCAGGAGAAAATTTAGTCTGACTGAGCAAGTAAGAAAACCAGCAACTAAATCAAAGGACCCTCTAATCCTTTGGTGGTTGTGGTAAGAGGGGCGTTAATTCTCTTTTCTCATGGCAGGAATATGTAGAGAACATGCTTTGTAGGCTCCACAGTGCCTGCCTACAATTTATTTCTTCCTAATCTGATTCTCTTCTTTCCTCTGCCTCTTAGCAAGATCTTGGGTAACACGGGGGGATGGGAAGAGGTGCAAGGATGTGACAAACAGTCATGCCCCTTTCTTTCTCCCTCTACTACAGGTCCAATCCAAATGACAATATACATTTCCAAAGATGCCAGCTACAAAAGGGAAGAAAAAGAAATAAAAGAAGCTAAGAAAAAGAGGGCCGGTGGAAGCAATCTAAGTGTCCATTGACAGATGAATGGATAAACAAAATGTGTGATATACATATCATGAAATACCACTCAGCAATGAAAAGGAAGAAATTCTGACACATGCTACGAGAGGGATAAAGCTTGAAGACATTACGCTCAGTGAAGTAAGCCAGCCACAAAAGGAGAAATACTGGATGATTCTTCTTACATGCGGTCCCTAGAGGAGTCAGACTTATAGAGATAGAAAGCAGAATGGTGGTTGCCAGGGCTTGGGGGAGAAATGGGGAGTTGTCGTTTAATGGGAACAGAGTTTCAGTTTGTGAAGATGAAAAGATTTTGGAGATGGATGGTGGTGACAGTTGCACAGCAACATGAATGTACATAATGCCACTAAACTGTAAACTTAAAATTGGTTAAGATGGCAAATTATGTTACCTATATTTTAACACAATAAAAAAAGGTAATTATGAAAAAAACGAAACAAGAAGGCCTTGTATGCCTTCATGCTTTTGGGAGGAATGGGATCTTTTCATTGAACAAAATGTTTGAAATGTAGAAAATCAGTTTGAAATTATAAGTAAAGTGGAACTCTGTTTTCTGAAGACTCACAGCAGTTCCAGGCAAAATCTTACTGGGAAAATTGCAATGTAGGACGTATCCTACACAGGTGTAAAAGATGCTCTTACCAGCAAATGTTGGCCGAACTTCTGGATTTGCCTCCCAGCAATGCTTCATGAGGCTGATAATCTCCTTTGGGCAGTACTCAATGATGTCCTCCACGTTCGGCCTGTTCCCAGATTTAATGCAGATTATCAACTGCTGCTCACAGATAGCATCTATAAAGCAAAGAGGAGTTTAAGTTGAGACTTTCAGGTCCTGCTCCTCTCATGATGACAGAACTCAGACAATGCCACTTATCTCTCTCTGCCTAGGGTATGCTTTTAGTATAGCTGCCTCATCTGATAGGGGCAAATGGCCACAGTGACCAGGAGTTGGTGTGTTCCATTGCAGAGACAATCAAACAACAATTTAGATGAAAGACAGAACTCCCAACAAAGCTGCCTCCTGTTAGAACAAATGGATTATGTGGATAAAGCCAATGGCATTCTCCAGATTTTAATACAGAGACAAATATGGTATAGCTCTTGCCGTTAAGGAGCTCAGTTTAATGGGAGTGACTTAAAATAGAGAGTGGTAATTGCTATTCAAGAAGTAATTATAAGTGGTTCTGGTAACACTAGGTCAGAGAAGGCTTTGTTGAGTCCAGGAAAATACGCAGGAGTTATCCAGGTAAAGAATGGGGAAGGAGGACTCAGAGAGGAGGATTCCAGGCTAGGGAAGCAAGATATGAATAGAGTGGAAGTTCCAAAAATCAGGATGCATCCTAGAAGGTAGAAGCAGTTCCGTATAATTGTACATACTGACTACGGAAGGAGAGGTGAGGAATAAGGCTAGAGAGAGAAGCAAAAGGCAGACCTTAATGGGCCTCGTATTCCATACTAAGGAATTTGAACTTTATCCTGAAGGCCACAGGGAGTCTTGGGAGAGTTTTAAACAGGTAAGTGAGATGGTCATATTTGCCTTTTAGGATGCAGTTTGGCTGCAGTGTGAGTGGCGGACTGTACGAGGAGCCGAAAGCAGAAATACAGAGGGTTTTAACCAAATAGAGGCCAATGGGGATAGAGGGAAGTGGATGGATTCAAGACGTATCTTGTTGAATCATACATACACCTTAAAGTCATAGGTTTTGATGTCTGATTGGATGTGGGAGATGAGGGGCAAGGCTGAGTCTGGGATGACTAAGGTTTCTGGTCAGATTACTTGGTAGATGGATGGTGATGCTATTTTCTGAACATATTAGAGGAGCAAAGCAGACTGGGCTACAGGGAGAGCATTTAGAAGATGAAGTTGTTTGGAAGAATGTTACTTTGGAGGTTCCTCTGTACATGTAACAGATCTGACCAACAGGTATGTGTATATCCAGGCCAGGGCTAGAGATAAGAGATGAAAGGCATCAACAAAAAGGTGATCATTAAACCACAGGAGCAGATAATCACCTAAGAAGAATGGATAGGAAAATGTCCATTAGTTTAGGCACTTAACAAACTGAAGAATGACTACTTGTGTATCTGCTCTCCTGCACGAACCATGTCTTTCTCATCTTTATATTCTCAATTCCAATTAAAGTACCCACAGTAAGTACTAAAAAGAAGTAATTCTTGAATAAAATAAGTGAATGTATGTAAGTATAAAGTGTATATCTTGTAGTATAAGAGGCTAAGTCCTAATAAGCAAAAGCAAGCAAGCTTTCCTGTCCAGGAAGAATCCTGGAATTTACAGCACTTCCCAAGCTTAGACGCATTATCTAAGTAGGATGACTCCTACTTGTCCTGTGATCCTTGATTCCTAAAATGAGATTACTCATTCCTTCAAAACAACTTACTGAGCACCTGCTATGCTGCGGGCACTCTGTGTAGATGCTGGGGAAACAGCAGTGAGCAAATCAGATGTGCTCCCAGCCCTTGTGGAACTTACAGTCTGGTAGGTAAGACACATAAAATGCACAATCAACTACAACTCTTAACCGATTTCATTGAAGACCATTATTTCATTTAACGATTTTGATTAATACCCAAATCTCACCCCTCTACAAATGTCTTACTTTCATATGGCTCTTTATTTGCAAATATTGCCCAAAGCACTATGGCAAAGCTATACACATCTGACTTCTCTGAGGGCTTTGCGTTGACGTCGTTCAGATGCTCAGGGGCCATGTAGCAGAGGGTGCCACCATTTTTCTTAGAGGTACTGTTCAGTTTCCGCTGCTCATTGTGTTCCTCCTTAGTCAGTTTACTCCACGTCTTAAAGGAAGCAACGCCAAGATCAGCTATCTACAAGAGACCAAACCAATGGGATTGTTCTGTGAAGGCTACAGGCAAATCAGATTTAGCTTTAAATTTTGGGCTTATCCAGTAGACATGAGGTACAGGGAATCTTCTAGAAATGGTTGCACTAGATAGGTTTAAAACAGCTACTTCTGAACAGACTTATGGAAACTTTGTGTTTCTCCAGCCATCTGGAAAATCTCCCCTAAAAAATGTCCATGTGAAATTCTGTTATCTCAGGTTTTTTGTTTTTGTTTTTGTGAGGAAGATTGGCCCTGAGCTAACATCTGTGCCAATCTTCCTCCAGTTTGTCTGTGGGACACCGCCATAGCACGGCTCAATGAGCGGTGTGTAGGTCCACATCTGGGATCTGAACCCACGAACCCTGGGCCACCAAAGCACAGCATGCAAACTTAACCTCTATGCTACTGGGCCAGCCCTATCTCAGCTCTTATGCAATAAAACCAAGGAATTTGCTGGGGGCAAGGGGGAAGAGAGGAAAAGCGGAAGACCTTTCTGACATGAACAAGAAAACATGTTTATTCTAATTCCTCATTTACTCTGCATAAGTTTCTCAATTATTTCTGAGCCAGGGAAAAAAACGGTATTTTCTTCTCAGCAGATTTGTATAGCAGATGATGACTAGGTACGGCACCTTCTATTTTCCAAATGGTGTCCAGAAGCCCATGGATGCGAATTTCCAAGGATTCCAAAGACACGTTGAGGATAAGGACTGTGGTGCTACTTGTTTAGAGTTGGTAACCTGAACCTAAGAGAAGACAGGATGGGAAGAAGGAGAAAAACTGACAAAAAAGCAGAGAGAAAAATACTAAGGTCAGACACAGAACAAAGAGGGAGGTGGCAGGGCAAAATTACAGAACAATACAGTTAAGAAGAAACCAAAGCTGACAGTTTCACTTTTGCCTCTAGGAATCCAAGCATTTGAGGATGAATTCTGGCATTTTATTATCTAAAATCCACAGACTCTAATCCAGAAGATAAGAGAGAAGTGATTAATGTAAAGAAAGAATCTTCCTTTAAAGACAGACAAATAAAAATGCCCAAGACTAGAATGCAGTTTAGAAGCAGAATCTTCTGTAGAGGACGCCTGCGTAAGCACTTCCTCAGTTCTTCCCCCCAACGCCACTTCCCCTTTCAGATTCTTGTGCTTGGACTCCTGCTGCCAAAGCCAATGGGATATGATGCTCCGCCTAGTTAAGTCTGGCTCTTGAGTGAACAAAAGAAAAATCTCTTTCCCTTCTTCCCTTTACCACAATGAAAAGAGAGTTTTCAAAAGGAAACTGATAAAAAAAATGCAGGTGAAAGTAAACGAATAAATAAAAAATATAAACTCTATCAAGTCTGTACCTTTCTTTTCAATCCCTGATAGAGCTTTTCAGCAGCACCACCACCAGTTATAAGATGAGGAATGTCTTCCTGACCAGCTACCATGTCCAAAAATGATGTACAGTGGAGAATTAAAACGAAAATTGCCCCAATTTTCGATGAATCTTTAGACTGTGGTTTTACCTTAATGTGAAAATCGCCGTCCACGAGGATGTTCTCAGGCTTGAGGTCCTTGTGTATTACACCTTCACCATGTAAGTAGCACATTCCTTCAATGGTCTCCATAATTATCCTTCCTTTCACAGAAAGGGGGATACTGATCTAAAACAAGTGATATGAGGTCTATGAAATGAAAAGGCAATCAACCAGGCCAAAGCAACTGTTTCATCCAAGAGAGTAATGGGGAAACCGTCACTGGGTTTGCTTCCAATGCTGCAGTCACTGTAAAACAAGCCTCCTTTCTTTAAGAAAGATTTCATCCCAGGTGCTAAGAGTATTACTGCTGTGTTTTGTCAGAGTAAAAATAAAACTTCTACACCAATATTGTAATATATAAAAATGCTATAAAATTAAGCTCCTTGAGAAAACCCTATAGTTATTATTATTATTTAGGATGTATCCTTACTACCTAGCGTGGTGCCTGGAATGTTTGTTGAATGAATGGATAAATAAATATCCAAAAAAACACAAATATGCTCTATGGTATACTAATATGACATGCTACTATATTAAATATGTGAATAATATTCATGGAAATGTGTGTATGAAATAACTAAGAGAAAAAAGAATATAAGGGAATGTGTTCACACTGATTACAAATATGCAAGAATTAATCTATGAGATAACATGGTGTTAAAACAATGCTGGAGTGAATTTCATATCTGTTTGGTGATTTAGTATCAGATATTTCAGGTTTTTGTAGAGTGTCAGTTCACTCTTACAACTGTATTCTAGTTATGTGAACATCAATGTTAATATAGATGATATCAGTTTTTAGTATAGTGGTTAAACAATACTTTTGCTTAACATTGAAAAACCAGCAACAAACTCTCCCTCTCTCGCTGTTTCTGTGTATGTGTGTATATGTGTATATGTGTGTATATGTGTGTGTGTCTGTAGTCCCTAGTTTACAAACAGGCTGTTTCCTAAAAATTTATATGTACGCTAATCGTTTGAAAACAGAAAAAAAATTTAAATGACAGAAGTTAGATTTCCAAGTCAACCCTTCAACCATATTTAACTCATAATGGAGCTGAACTACAGTATTAATAGCCTGATTACCATAGTACAAAAAATAGCAGAAAAAACTTTCCCTTCTTCCTTGGTATACCTTTGGACTTAGGAAAAAATTCTGATCAAGCAAAGTGGATTCCCTTCTCATCCCTCTCTCTGCTTCTCTCTGTTACATCCTCCTGACTTTTTTCCTGAGCCCCAACTGGTGCACTCATCTTTGGCTGATCCCACAGAATGCCTCTTGTCCCAAATAACCACCTCCCAATCAAAATACCTACCTACTTCATGCAGCTGATCTTATCTAGTTTTGGGGAGAAGAGCAATCTGATCAAATTACAATTCAACGTGTATAAATGATCATCTTTTATCCTTCCCATAGGTACTTGTGAGAGATGTCTGTGATTTAAAAGAAGTGACATAGCTTCAGGCAGTTGGGTTGAGGAGAAGAAGGGGAAAGGGGGAATATTTGCCATAAAGGCAGTCATATCCCTCCAATCCCACACACAGTCTGTGCTTTGGCTAAATCCAGTTACTTGCCGTTTCTAAAATTTGGCATACTCTCGTTCCTTTGCACCGGCCAATCTCTCTGCATGGAACATTGATTTCATAATTCTCTGCTTCGAAACCTCTACTCGCCTTTCACACTTTGGCTCAAGCATCCTCCTTCTGGAATCCCTTCCTATCTATCCCACGCTGGAGTGAGTGCCTCTCCTCTGTGTCCCCACAGCACACCGTGAGGATGTCTATCAAACACCATTACACCACACCGTTCACTTACTTATCTGGCCCCCTTGACTTGTCTGGGTCATATTTACTATTGCTCCCTGAGCAACCAGCACAAGGCCTTGCTCTTAATAGGTACATAAACTTTTAAAAAATGCTTTAAAGTTATTTGGTTTTGGTAAACAATTTTTATTTTCCTGTCTTACCTATCCAGTGTTGTTGCTTCTAACATTCTATACTTAACCTATAAATTTCTTAAACGATATCAAAGTACAATCTTTAACATTCCATCTTCTCATACAGTCACTTATAGTGTACATCCTTCTATCAATCAATCAATATTTAATTGTTATCCATTACGGATACACCCCAGGTCAGACCATGTGCTCTATGAAGACAGTGCCCATCTCGTGGATCTCAGAGTGGCTGACAAAAGCCAACTACAATACTAAGACATAGAGGGGACCCTCCAACTAAGGGATACAGACAATTGTCTGCAGGGATTGAGAGGAGGTGAGACCACTTTCTGGGCAGAGAAAAGTCAAGGAAGATTTAATGAGGGATTGACTTCAGAAAATCCAAAATATACAGTAATTCACAAAGGGATTATTTTATACCAACAAGCTACAAAAGAATACCACGATAATAACGACACAGACAACCAGCACCCAAGTTGCTGGGCCTGGAGGGTGCACAGCAAAGCCCTCTCTACCTCAGCTTTCAGCACACGCATCAGGTTGCCGTTCGTCATGTACTCCATCACGAGCGCGTAGTTGCCTTCTTCTATGATGATGCCCAGGAGCTTCACCACCCGATCGTGTCTCAGCCTGTGCATCATCCTGCCCTCCTCGAGGAGGGACTCGTCATACCTGGGGAGGGACAGGTGCTATTAAGACGGGCGGTGTTAGCCCCTTTTAGCTTTGTGCCCCCAAAATACGCACGACACACCTTGACACATCACATCGCACATGCTTCTGTCATTACTTGTGCATGTACTCATCTCTTCTAGGCATGGACCACAAGCTATAGAAGGCAGAGCAGTTTCTCGTTGATCTTTATAGTCCTCCTTCCCAGTGACTGGAAGGGAGTGTTCAAGAAATGTTCAATCGATGAACGAATGAAAGAAAAGTAAATGAACAACAGCAATGAAACACAGCCTGACAAAAGGATTGTGTTGGACAGTATATCAAAAACTGCCGCCTCTCTCTGCAACCACTCTGGCAAGAAGAGAGAGAAGTAAAACAACTCCACCAATTGCTTTGAAGAGAGGGTTCCCAGAGCTTCTAATTAATGAACTACCCTTTTTTTTTTTTCCATACTTAGGGCTGGTCCTCACCAAAAATGTAAAGAAAGTAAACAAGTCTATCTTCATTGATCCCTCTCATTTTCTTTTCATTGCCTCCCTTATCACTCTTTATCTCCTTCTCTTTCTCTAGTTCTTTCCCTTCATTTCTCTCCCATTATTTACCAGCTGTGAGCTCTTCACTAACCAGCCTCAGAATCCTCATCAGTGATGTAGGGATCATAATAACCACCATGCAGGGTTATTTGACATGAAGCCTGTGTGCTGACCCTTACACCACGGTCCGTCTCCTCCTAAAGCCTGCGCTCTCACCCGTGGCCCCGGCCTACACCTCTGCGATAATGCTTCCCACGGCCAACCCATCATGTGCTCCACCCACCTCTGCTCCCCACTCACTCGGTGCGCTTGGGCCCTGTGTAGACCTTTTTCAGTATTACGAGTTCGTGGGATCTGTTCAAACACAAGGACACCTTTCCGAAGCCCCCGCTGTCTAGATACTCCTGCTCCAGGAAGTCGGTAGATTTCATCTTAATGTCATCCAAGGACATGATTGGTTTCCTTCTGAATACTCAGAATGCCCAAAAATGCACCACTTTTTCTTTTCCCTCGGAGCTGTGCCCTGTAAAGAAAAGAAGAGGACATCTCAGTGCAAAAAAGGTCATCATTCAAAAACTTATGGAAAGTTTCACCACAAGCTTAGCGCGCCTTTATTTTTTGAGGATAGATTTACAGTCTGTAAGATGAACTGTTTTTCATATTTCCAAGAATCACAGAACACCACAACTTTTATTCCTTAGACTTTCATTTCTGGCAACATTAACAACAAGAAAATTTTAAAAACTCTCTTGCTACAAATGACCTATACAGTCATGCGTCACCCAACGATATGTTCTGAGAAACGCGTCATTAGGCAGCGTCGTGTGAACATCACAGAGTGCACTTCCACAAACCTAGATGGTATAGCCTACTACACACCTGGGCTATGTGGGACTAATCTTCTGGGACCACTGTTGTATATGCAGTCCATCGTTGACCAAAACGTCGTTGTATGGCCCATGACTGGATATGTCGGACAACATAATGCAAACATCCATTCAAACACATACCTAGGCTCAGTACAAAGGAAAATAACTCCAGAGACTGAAACAAACGGCACTGGCCCACATGGTGGCTGCTATGGACTGAATGTTTGTGTCCACCCCAAAATTCATAGGTGGAAGCTCTAACTCCAATGTGATATTAGGAGGTGGGGCCTTTTGGAGGTAATTAGGTAATGAAGGTAGAGGCCTGGGAAATGAGATTAGTTATAAAAGACATGAGAGAACTTGCTTTCTCTCTCTCTTTCCACTATCTGAGGATACAACGAGAGAATGGCCATCTGCAAACCAGGAAGCGGGCTCTCAACAGACACTGGATCTGCTGGCACCCTGATCCTGGACTTCCAGTCTCCAGATTATGAGAAATAAATGTCCAATGTTTAAGCCACTCAGTCTATTTAACTTGTTAGAGCAGCCAAACTGATTAAGACAGTGGCCCTGTGGGGCACTGCCAACCTTGACATCCAAAGGTCAGGGTTTAAAACCCAGCCAAGGACAGGAGTTGAGGTCAGGGCATGCAAGAAAAGAGGGTTGGCACAAAGACTCCCCCCTTAACATGGCACTCCTCAGCGTGCTACCCTTCAATGAAAGGATGGACTAGAAAAAAAGCAGTCCACTAGCAAAGGAACTTGTTTGTCTTAGACTGGGCACGAGGTATAAAAGGAAGTTTTCATGTGACTTCATCAGCTTGCGCCTGTCTTCAAATAGATTTGGGTTTTGAATTTACACTCCTCTTAGGGCCAGGATCCCCTAAGCTGATAACTTTTATATAGAAAGTGGTCACAGGCTGATGACATCCCTGTGTTGTAAGGCTAAAGTAAACAAAATACCTTCAAGCCAGACCAGACAAGATTCTCGCAAATGGAGCCTCTTAACATGAGCTCCCTTTCCAAAATTATATTAACACAAAAGAAAAAGTTCACCATGAGCCAGATCCAGCAAATACAACAAAAAGCAGCATTAGGCACCAAAGAACTTCAGGGAATTAAATAACTGAATATTCTTAAAAAATAACAGGTTTAAAATAATTATGAACAAAAGAAGGAACTGGAAAAACTTAATAATGCACTATGCAAAAAGAATAGGAAGATATAAAAAGGATGAGAATTTGGAGAATGTGTGTATTAGTACTATGAAGTATACAATGTACACAATCACAAAACAGAACTATTTGCCTCATCCTTCTTCCCTTCTTTTCTTGCATTCATTCATTTTCCCCAAACTGAAATGAAGAATAAAAATCCAAGGTGGACCACAAGGAGATAGCACTACACACCCACCAGAATATCCAAAATTAAAAAGGCTGATACCATCAAACACTGGCAAAGATATGAAGCAACTGGAATTCTCATACACTGTTGGTGGGAGTATAAAATGGTACAACCACTATGTGAAAGGTCTGGCAGTTTCTTATAAAACTACACACACATCTACACTATGACTAAGCAATTCCAATCCCAAGAGAAATGAAAATATATATCCCAAAGACTTGAGCACTGTTCATAGCAGCTTTATTCATGATAGTCCCAAACTGGAAACAGTTATCCAGCAATAGGAGAATGAGAAAAGAAAACTGTGGTATAGTCATACAATGGAATACTACTCAGCAATAAAAAGCGACATGACAACGTGAGTGAGCTGCAAAAACATCATGCTGAGTAAAAGAAGCCTTATACAAAAGAATACACTCTGTCTCACTCCATTGATGTGAAGTTCTGGAACAGACAAACCAATCTATGCTGGAAAAGAAACAGTTGTTGCCCAGGGACAAGGTGACAACTGAGTGGGATGGGGCCTGAGGGAACTTTCTGCAGTGATGGTGATGCTCTGGCATCTCAGTGGAGGTCAGGGTTACACAGGCAGAAGCATTTGCCAATATTCAGCAAATGTACTCTTAAGAATTGCAGGTTAATTTCACATCAAAAGAAAAATCCGTAAACGTATTGAACTCTAGTTAGCAGTATGCATGCTGAAATATTTAGGGGGAAGCATACTGATATCTGCAGTTTTCTTTGCAGACAGACTGGTGGAGAGAGAGAGGGATAAGCAGATGGACAGTTATATGATAAAGCAAGCAGTATAAAATAATACAGACGGTGGATATATGACAGTTCACTGGAAAATCTTTTATTTTTATTTTAAATTTTGTTTCTACATTTTTATTTATTTTCCCCTCTACCCCTCACCCAGTTTCTCCTAATAGTACATTTGTCAAAACTAAGAAACCAACATTGGTACATTACTAATAAGTAAACTCCCTAGTTTATTTTGATTTCACTAGTTTTTCTACTAACGTCATTTTTCTATTACAGGATCCAATCCAGGATACCACATCACATTTTGTAGCTCTTGATTTTTTAATTTTTTTTACCTTTTGACGCACTCCCCCCAACCCCACTGCTGGCAACCACCATTAGTCTTCTGTTCTCTGTATCTGAGCTTGTTTCTTTGTTTGTTTCTTTCTTTCCACATATAAGAGAGATCATACAGTATTTGTCTTTCTCTCTCTGACTTATTTCACTTAGCACAATGCCCTCGAGGTCCATCCTGGTTGTCACAAATGCCAAGATTTCATTCTGTTTTACAGCTGAATAATACTCTATGGTGTATATATACCACATTTTCTTTATTCATTCATCCACCGATGGACACTTAGGTTGTCTCCATATCTTGGCTACTACAAATAGTGCTGCAGTGAACATGGGGTGCATATATCTTTTCCAGCTAGTGTTTTAATTTTCTTCAGATAAATATCCAGAAGTGGCATTGCTGCATCATATGGTAGTTCTATTTTTAATTTTTTGAGGAACCTGCATACTGTTTTCCATAGTGGCTGCAACAATTTGGTCACACCAACAGTGCACAAGGGTCCCCTTTTCTCCACATCCTCCCCAACACTCATTATTTCTTGTCTTTTTGATAATAGCCATTCTGACAGGTATGAGGTGATATCTCATTGTGGTGTTGATTTGAATTTCCCTGACAATTAGTGATGTTGAGCACCTTTTCACGTACCTGCTGTCCATCTGTATGTCTTCTTTGGAAAAATGTCTACTCAGATCTTCTGCCTATTTTTTAATCTGAGCATCCGTTTTTTGATGTTGAGTTGTATGATTCTTTTTTTAAGGATTGACACCTAAGCTAACATCTGTTGCCAATCTTCTTCTTTTTCTTCTCCCCAAAGCCCCCCGGTACACAGTTGGATTTTCTAGTTGCAGGCCCTTCTGGCTCTGCCATCTGGGCCACCACCTCATCATGGCTTGATGAGCAGTGCCATGTCCGCGCCCAGGATCTGACCTGGAGAAACCCTGGGCAGCTGAAGTGGAGTGTGCAAACTTAACCACTCGGCCATGGGGCCAGCCTCTGTATGGGTTCTTTATCTATTTTGGATATTAATCCCCTATCAGATATATGATTTGCAAATATTTTCTCCCATTCAATAGGTTGCCTTTTTATTTCGCTGATGATTTCCTTTGCTGTGCAGAAGATTTTTGGTTTGACATAGTCCCACTTATTTTTGCTTTTCTTGCTTTTACTTTTGGTGTCAGATTCAAAAAATCATAGGCAAGATCTATGTCAAGTTTACCGCCTGTTTCTTTCTAGGAGTTTTATGGTTTTCAGGTCTTATGTTCAACTCTAACTCATTTTGAGTAATTTTTGTGTACAGTGTAAGATAGGGGTCCAGTTTCATTCTTTTGCACGTGACTATCCAATTTTCCCATTACCATTTTATCGAAGAGACTGTCCTTTCCCCATTGCATATTCTTGGCTCTTTTGTCATAAATTAATTGGCCATATATGTATGGCTTTATTTCTGGGCTCTCTATTCTGTTCCATTGATCTGTTTTTATGCCAATATCATACTGTTTTAATTGCCATAGCTTTGTAACAGAGTTTGAAACCAGGGAGCGTGATGCCTTGAGCTTTGTTCATCTTTCTCAAGATTGCTATGGTGGTTCGGGGTCTTTTGTGGTTCCACACAAATTTTAGCACCATTTGTTCTATTTCTGTGAAAAATGCCATTGCAATTTGTATGGGGATTGCTTTGAATCTGTTGATTGCTTTGGCTAGTATGGACATTTTAACAATATTAATTTTTCCAATCTGTGAGCACAAAATATCTTTCCATTTATTTGCGTTGTCTTCAATTTCTTTCCTTAATATCGTGTAGTTCTCAGTATAAAGGTCTTTCACCTTAGTTAGATTTATTTCTAGGTATTTTATTCTTTTCAACACAATTGCAAATGGGATTGTTTTCTTAATTCCTCTTTATGATAGTTCGTTATTAGTGTACAGGAATGCAAGAGATTTTTGTGTATTGATTTTGTATCTTGTAATGTTACTGAATTGGTTTATTAGTTCTAATAGTCCTTTGATGAAGTCTTTAGGGTTTTCTACATATAATATCATATCTTATGCAAACAGTAAGTTTAACTTCTTCCTTTCCAATTTAGATGCCTTTTATTTCTTTTTCTTGCCTAAGTGCTCTGGCTAGGATTTTTAATACTACCTTGAATAAAAGTGGCCGGAGTGCGCATCCTTGTCTTGTTCCTGATCTTAGAGGGAAAGCTTTAGCTTTTCACCACTATGATGTTAGCTGTGGGTGTAAAATCTTTTTAATTTGCACTTTGAAACTGTTCATAATAAAAGGTTGGGGGGGGGTTAAAAAAAGTACCTGGAGGGGTTTCTGCAAATGCCTAGGCTGACAGCAATCTCGTGCAGCGGCCTGCTGCAGTCTGGCTCAGGTAACCAACCTTCTACACCTTGTACAAAGACTGTGAGCACCTGGCACTCCGACAAAACTCACATATCAGCAGTGTAGACAATATTATGGACCATCTTCCTGTGATACGAGACATTGCCAAACAAGAGGAAGTACCCTCTAGAAAGCAGCATGTCTGTGGGGCAGACAGAGGAGGTGAGGGGAGCTGCCCAGATAAAGGGCATAAAGACTGAGGAGAGAGGGGTGAGGCAGACACTGAAGGTGAGGTAGTGGAAGCCATAATAATGGTGGGAAAAGCACAGGCCTTTCTCATGTGAGCATGAACTCCAGCTCTGCAATTTATTAGCCCTGTGACATGGGCAACTTACATAAGCCTCAATTACCTCATTTGCAAAAGGAAATAATAATGACTGCTTCACTGGACTGGTAAGTATTATATGAGAAAAAAGTATGTGAAAAACACATTTATTTCCTGCTTTTTGATTCTTGCTACGGTTGGCCCAGCTGCCCACATTTACCCCGTTTCACCGGGCTTTGAGAATGCCAATGCATAGCTGGGGTCACTCTGCTCTGCAACTGTCTACTGACCAATCCCTGTGGGAACAGGAGGACGGAGGGAGACAGAGTAATACGTCCCACTCTTCCTGGCAACCCTCTTAGGGCACATTCTTCTCCTGGCTAGATGCCGCTCACCTTCCAGGGCTCAGCAAGAAGTCATTTCTTCAGTCTTCCATCCTAAGTCTTCCCATTAGACATTTTCACAGCACCCTGTACTTCTCCCCTGAAACAGGGAAGACAGCTATAATTTGAGAATTATTTCTAATTATGCTCACAGAAGGCAGAAAACTATCTTGCACACTGTCTACAGTGCATAGAAGAGAAACTGACATACGGTGGTTGAGCATTAAACAGATATATATTTTTAAAAAAGGACTATTTAGGGGCCGGCCCTGTGGCCAAGTGGTTAAGTTCACACACTTTGCTTCAGCGGCCCAGGGTTGTGCCGGTTCAGATCCTGGGTGCGGACATGGCACCACTCATCAAGCCATGCTGAGGCGGTGTCCCACGTGCCACAACTAGAAGGAACCACAACTAAAAATATACAACTATGTACCAGGGGGCTTTGCGGAGAAAAAAGGAAAAGTAAAATCTTAAAAATAACAAATTTTCAAAAAGGACTATTTAATTGTCCAAAAATAAAGGATATAGTTAAATGAATTACAGGACATTCATAAGATGGAATATTATATAGCCATTCAAAATCATAGTCTGTAAAAATAAGATACATATACACACACACACACACACACACACACACACACACAGACAGTTGGCTAGGTATACATATAGATGTATGTACAGAGAAACAGACATAATGAAAGACACCAAAATGTTAGTAAGGATTATATCTGGATGATAGAGTGATTTTTACTTTCTTCTTTACACTTTTATTACATTTTCTAAATTTTCTACAATAAATGTGAATTACATTTATAATAAAAATTATTTTTTAAACAGAATAATCCCTTCACGAATAGTTCTTTATTCTTAGGAATCAAATCTAAGATGCTGATAAAGATTATGTACAAGGATGTTCCTAGTAACATCACATATAACAGCAAAAGCATATAAAACAATTTACAAATATAGAGGAGAGAATAAGTTATTGCTCATTCATACTCTGAAATATATCTATCAGTTTTTAAAAATGCTGAATATGAATGTTTAATAACATAAAAAAATGCTCACAGAGTGAAGAAACAGGAAGAAATTATAACTCTGCCTGTCCACTTGGGTATAGGATTTCAAAAGCTTGAGGAGGAGTTCCATTTGGCATCTCTCCTTCAGCCCAGGCCTTGTCTTCTCAAATCTGCCAAGACCGGCCAGGATGTGCAGTGCCTCCAGCAAGCATGACGGCGCCCGGGGAAGGGGCCTCCAGGCGGCTCCACAGCACCTTGTGAGGCTGGTTCCTGACCCAAGTCAGTTCTCCTTACAGTCATGCAGTTTCCTGGTTTACTCTGATCTTAATCTTATGCATCTTTTGCATGGTTTCCAATGATTTCTTTTGTTTTTACTGTTTTTTCCCACTTTTTACCAATCAACAATTCAACTTCATAAGCACTAAATAGGAAGGCCTTGTGAGAGGTTTAGACACCCAAGAGTCACTAACACACTGAACAAAGGCAGGCAGATGAGCACACCACAAAGCCATGTTTTAATGAGTAATTAACGAAGGCACACTTGCCTTTTATATCATATTATGATAACTAATTTCAACTAAAAATGTAATTGTATCCCTTTTAATGGATTTCTTAACGTTTTTGCATAAGTGGGTATTAATTCAGGGACTCAGAGAAGCAAATTTTTCCACTGAAATTAACTGAAAATTCCCAAAAAATTCACATATTACTTTCTAAGGTAGGTAAGTCTATATATCAAAATATTTATATCTACATTCAATTTTATCAATTATACCTCAATAAAACTGAGGAAAAATAGAAACAAATAATAATTAATACCAAAAAACTGGACAGAATGAACTTCTGATACTAACAGCCAGGACAGTGGCTGGAGGTGGGGAACGAGAGGAGGCACAGGAGGTTTCAGGAGTGGCGGCAACGGGTCTATTTCTTCACCTGGATAATGTTCACTTTGTGATACGTCATAGAGCTGGACAGCTATGATCTGCGCACTTTTCTCTGTGTTATACTTCAATAGAAACGTTTTTTAAAAGGTATCCATATTTACCTTTCAGCGGTAGAGGACTATTTTTTCAATTTTCTAATGATGACCACACATAATGAGTCTGACAGAAAATGTTGGTTGCCTACCTATCACTGTCTTACCTGCTAATAGAATTCTCATTTTACTCAGGTATCCAACACAGACTTCTCTAAGAATCTCTGATTAAAACAGCTTGATGCTTTGCCCCAGATAAATAAGAGGTCTGAGCAAGCAAGAGCCAAATGATGAGCAAGAGACAAGACTCAAAGCGCTTAACCATGCACTATCATGTACATTAGCCCAGGATGACTCCGAGAGGTAAGTTTTATTTTCATCATTCCAATTTACAAATAAAGAAAAAAAAATTAGAATTTAAATGATTCACCTGAAGTGGTAGATCTGGAATCGAACCCTTGCCTCTTCACTCAGACTTCCACTATCAATTCACTAACACGTGCTACTTCTCTAGTTAGCAAACAATAAATGTCTGGGTTAAAATCAGATGCAAAGACCTAATCTTACAGCCTTGCTTGCCTACATTAAATGAGTATGCTATGGTCAGAAACACAGGGAACGTACAGACTAAATTTTTAAAACATACTCAAATATACTGTTCAAAATCAATATTCTACAGGTTAAAACAATCATTTTTGCCAGAGTACAATATCCAATGCACATCATGCTATTTTTTCCAAATTTTCAGATTACATTGGTGGTATTAATGTTATGGATTAATAAGCACTACATAATAGTTTGCCACTTTGGAAGTTGATATTTTGGGAATTTTTATTAATTCTCATTAATATTCACAATCCTGAAAGTACAACATATCGCTGGTGCTCAATATAGTGCAGAAAGGAAAATGAAAATTATAGTTAATCATTATTGCTGTTTTACCAGTAATACTAATGATGATACACCCCAAATTTTATTTTAAGTAAGCTTAATCTTTCCTTTTTGTGTTTAGATGAGCTGCAGGTTTCCACATTTCTCATTGACCACAATTTCCTCTCTACTCTTCTACCTACCTGGTGGTTACAAAATGGAGATGAAATCACTCTACATTCCAAGGTTCACTCTGTGCCTTGATTTCCTCCAGTGTAAATCAGTGAAGAATTAAAAGTGGTCTAAAGACCAAAGGACTTTTGCAAGTCAAACAGCCTCAGACTCTGTCCAAGATAAACACGAGCTCTGCGCAAAGGGCCAAATGATCAGGAAGACACAAAGAAACGAAGAACCCCTGCGACTCTTTGTGGGGTTTTGTCAAATGCTTAGGAGGAGGATGTAGCTTATCTTCTTCATAACCCTGAAGAGAATCTGCAGCACTTCATAAAAGCAAATGCCACTAACCACCGGAGAAGCCGCCTATACTTACGACGTTCATCCCTTTTGTCGCTGTGGCTGTTGGCCCTTCTTTCCCATTTGCCAGCCCACGTCCAGGATTATGCGGAAAAGCTTTTGATTGTCTTTGCAACCCGCTGCGGCCCCAAGTGCAGCAGTAAAAGGGCCTTTCAAAGGGCTGGTAAGAAGTCCCAGCCAAGAGAAGATATCTCTCTGTAGATACCCAACGCTATTACGGCAGGAGCATCCACTACTGCATCTCAACGACACTGCCCACCATCTCTACCAAAACACCACCACCAAAACGAGGTTCCAAACTCACACCGTTATCGTGGAGCGAGGGCAGGCGTCTGCCATTGTACGGATTTACACCTAAACCTCAGAGAAGCAGCCAGGCCGGGGCTGGGACAGCCAGCGGCCCCGGGCCCGACTCCCCGGAAGGCCGGGGCCACCCCCAGCCGACTGCCGGGAGCGCCCTGGGCGCCGCCCACCACTGCACGGGCCACTCACAGCCCGACTTCCGGGAGCACAGCCGGAGCGCTCCCCGCCCGACTTCCGGGCGCGCCACGGCCCTCCACCGCCCGCACGCCGCGCCAGGAAGCCCCGCCCCGCCCGGAAGGCGGAACGGCGGACCCGGCCGCCGCGGCCGCCGCCGCCGCGCAGACGCACCCGAGCGCGACTTACTTTCGTTTCCGAGGCGAACTTCCTCAGGCCCCGCGAGCCGAGAAGCGGCGGCGGCAGGGGCAGGGCGGGTCCCGCCGCCGCGGCAGCACGCCCGAGCCGGAGAGGGGGTCCCTGGAGCCGGAGCTCGCGGGCTCGGGAGACCGGGCCGCAGAGTGGCCGTCCGGCTGCGTTCACCGCGCGTGGCTCCGTGGCCTGCGTCCGGCGCGTCCAGCCGCAGCCCGCGCTCGCTCCCTCCGGGGTCGTCGCGTCGGCGCGCCTCGGGGGGTGGGCCCACAGGGACCGCCGCGTCGGGAGCCCGCGTCCGGCCCGCGCCGTTTCTCCCCGAGCTACTGAGCCCGGCCGGCGGGAGGGCGTGGACTGCTCGCCCCGCCCCTGCCCTGCCCGGGAGGAGGAGAAGGAGGAGGAGAAGGACCGCGCGAGCGCCCGCCCCCGCCAGCCGGGCCTGGGACCCCGTTTTAGAAACCCAGTGATCTGTCAGCCTAGGGATCGCGGCTTCACCTTGGTTTAAAGCGAAGTGGGAGGCCCGAAGAAAAGAGGAAATGTCACCTGGTCGTAGGAACCTCCGCGGGGGGAGAGGCAGCTTGGCCCCGGGGAACACGCTGGGTGAATTACCCAGGGGAATGCGAGCTCGCTGTGGACCCCGCTGGAACCTCAGGCAAATTACCGTTCTCACCTCCGTTCACCTGTAAAGTGGGGATAATAACATCTAGTCTGCGGGGCTGCGGAGGAAGAGATGTGGTATTTACTTTGCAGCCCCTTCAAATGGTGATTGGGCAGTCTCAGGCAAAATGGGAAATGCTTGCTGTAGTGTTATATTGAAAGCAAATTATATGCTCAGCATGGTTGCATAGTGTAAAAAGATGTATACATCAAGAAAATGAGAAGCCACAAACTGGGAGTAAATATTTGCAAAAGACGTATCTGATAAAGGACTGTTACCCAAAATACAGTTAAGAACTCTTAAAACTCAACAATAAGAAAATGAATGACCCAATTAGAAAGTGGGCAAAAGATCTGAACAGACGCCTCATGATACAGATGGCAAGCATGTGAAAAGCTGCTCAACATCATAGGTCATTAGGGAATTGCAAATTTGAAAAACACTGAGATACCACTACATGCCTATTAGAATGGCTAAAATCTGAAACACTGACAACACCAGATGTTGGTGAAGATGTGGAACAATAGGAATTCTCATTCATTGTTGGCATGAATGTAAAATGGTACAGTACTTTGGAAGAATGTTTGGCAGTTTCTTAAAAAGCTAAAAATGGTCTTACTATCGATCCAGCAGTCAGATGCCTTGGTATTTACCCAAGTGAGTCGAAAGCTTATGTCCACACAAAAACCTGCAAATGAATGTTTATAGCACCTTTATTCGTAATTGCCAAACTTTGAAGGCAGCCAAGGTGTCTTTCAGTAGGTGAATGGACAAAAACACTGTGATCTGTCCAGACAATGGAGTATCATTCAGCACTAAAAAGTGAGCTGTGAAGCCACAAAAAGACGTGGAGGAGATTTAAATGCTTATTTCTAAGTGAAAGAAGCCAATTTGAAAAAAACCATATAATGCATGATTCCAACTATCTGCCATTCTGGAGAAGGTAAAATTTTGAAGACAGTGAAAAAAGTCAGTGGTTGTCAGGGTTGCAGGGATGGGTGACTAAGTGGAGCAAAGGGGATTTGTAGGGCAGTGAAACTATTCCGTGTGATACTATGATGTGGATACATTATATGTTTGTCAAAACCGGTAAATGTGCAACACAGAGAGTGAAACCTAATGTAAACTATGGCCTTTTGTTGATAACGTTGTATCAGTGTCGGTTGGTTGATTGTAACAAATGTACCACACTGGTGTAGGGAGTTGATGATGGGAAAGCTGTGTGTTGGGACAGGGGACAGACTGTGTAGGAACTCTGTTCTTTCCACTCAGTTTTGCTGTGCAACAAAAGCTGCTCTAAAAAACAAAGGTTATTATTTTTAAAAGATAAACATGTACTTAAAAGACGAAAGGGGTACCTATTCGTTCAACAAACATTTCTTGGCTTGCCAAACAGGTACTAGATACAAGAGTATCTGGTGGTAGAAACAAGTGATTCAATAAATATATACAAAGCACCTGTTTTAGGCACTAACGACTCAGTTGTGAATAAATCAGACAAAAACCTCTACCCTTGTGGAGCTTACATTCTAGTGGGGAGGTAAAAAAATGAAAAAAAATAAATGTGTAAACTATTATGTTAGAAACAAGGTGTGAGAAATGAGATAACTGGAAGGTTTTTGTCCTGAGCATAACTTGAAGGATGAAGTTGCTGTATACTGACATGGGAAAGAATAGTGAGAACAACAAGTTTATGGAAATGTCAGGAGTTCTTTTTGAACATGTTAATTTAAGGTGTCTTTTAAACATCCAGTTGGAGATGTCAGGTGGGTAGGTGGATATATGAGTTTGCAGTTCAAGGAAGAAGTCCAGGTTAGAAATACAAATTAGGAAGTCATCAACATGTGGATGGTATCTAAAGTTATGAGGCAAGATCATCAAGGGAGGGAATGAAGACAGAGAGGAAAAGAGGTCTGAGGAATGACCCTGAGGGCCTCCAATGTTTGGAAGTTGATGAGTTGAAGAGAAGCCACCAGGGAAATGGGGAAAACAGGTCAGGGTGGAGGGGAACCTTAAGAGACTGATCAGTTGTGCCAAATGCTGCAAATGTATCAAGTAAGATGTGGACTGAGAATGCACCGTTGGGTTTGGTTAACATGGAAATTGTCAATGACCATGAAAATGTAAGTTTTAGTGGTATAGTGGGAGCAAAAGCATCTTTGGGGTTGTTTGTTGTTATGCCTTTATCCCAACTCCTAATGACCCTGTGGACAGCAAAGCAGAGCCCTGCCTGATCTTTCTGCACCATCCTCTCACCTTCTGGCACTCTATCAGCTTCACTGCTATTCACGGGTTTTCATGGCCAGTTTTTTCAGAACGAGGTGGCCATGCCCTTCCTCCTAGTCTGTCTTAGTCTGGAAGCTCTACTGAAACCTGTCCACCCTGGGTGGCCCTGCTGGTATTTGAAACAGCAGTGGCAGAGCTTTCGCCTCACAGCAACATGCAGCCGACACAGTATGATATCTGACAGCAGGTGGTGTGGATCCCTGACTGGGAAAAAAACCCAACCACGGCAGTGAGAGCACTGAATCTTAACCACTAGACCACCAGGGCTGGCTGTTTGTAATAGGTTCCAGAAAAAGCTAGAGGAGGTGGGGAGAGAAAAATGAGAAACTGTGAGTATAGTTAGGTCTTTAAAGGAATTTTTCAGAAAAGGAAATGAGATTAATAGGGTAGTAGCTGGAGAGAGAAGTGGGGTAAGAATATATTAAAACCTCATATTTATTCCAAGAAACTTTACAGTCCATTGGAGAGGCAATCATTCCATAAAAATGGAGATGTTATTTAATAAGGGTTATGATAGAGGTATGTACCATGTGCTATGGCAACCAGAAAAAGTTCTACTTGAGAGGATAATAATTCTACTTGAGAGGAAGAGAATCAGGAAAGACTTCACAAAAGAAGTCACACTTAGGTTCAATCTTAAAGTATGAGTGGAGGAGTTCCTATTCTGGTCTTCAAGAACGTATAGAATGAATCCTTCCATTGAAAGTAATAATGGAATATGGGAAAAATATACAAAATGGCTGTTTGAAGGCACTGGAGAGCATCTAACACAGGGAAGACGCAAGAAGCTTCCGTCCTGGAGCAGAGGAAACAATATGAAGTGGCTCCATTTTCATTCACCACAGCTTTTCTCTGAGGGCATTTCTCATTCTATGCAAGGGATAATAGAAGCCGAGCAGAAAGTAGCCATCTCACTGGTGGAGGAATTTGGAACTTGAGGAGCAAAATCTCAGAAATGAGGGAAGTATAGAGAAGTGACCCCCAAATCATCCATTGAAATTACACCCCAGTAATTAGCTGATGGTTAAACCACACACATGTAGGGACAGACTCCAAGAAACCCAGCAGGCAAGAGCGGCCCAGAAGCTAAAAAGCTTCACAGGATTTTCAGTAGCTTCATAGTTGTAGAGAGAGGCTGGGATTCAAGCCTTGCCAGACTGGAGGGGTCTTGGAAATACCTCAGGCTTTCCATTGATACCTCAGATCACTAGGAGTCGGAACCATGCCTGTCTTAGCCTGCGTAGGCTGCCATAACAACATACTAGAGACTGGGTAGTTTAAACATGACACATTTATTTCTCACTGTTCTAGAGGCTGGAAGTGTGAGGTCAAGATACCAGCATGGTCGGTTTTTGCTAAGGCCTCTCTTCCCAGCTTGTAGCTGGCCACCATCTGGCTGTGTGCTCATTCACATGACCTCTTCTTTGTGCGTGCCTGGAGAGAGAGCAAGCTGTCTGGTGTCTCTTCTTACAAGGACACATGTCCCATCATGGAAGTTCCATCCTCATGACCTCATCTAAACCTAACTACCGCCATGAGGCCCCATCTCTAAATACCATCACATTGGAGATTAAGGCTTCAACATATGAATTTGGGAGGGAGACACAATTCAGTCCATAGCAATGCCCTTGAAGGAAGAACATGGACCAGGAATAAGAGCAAAGTTGAAATAACCCAGCTTTAACAAAGACCAGCTCTAGCCAATCTAAATGGAACCACGGTAATTTGGTAGTAAACTATTCACTTGCCATAGGACACTTAACCCTTTTTGTTAAGACATCACTCTGCACCTCTACACTTTCTCATATGTCTGGCATCCAATAAAAAAGTATGAAACATGCTTTAAAAAACTAGAAATTATCAAAAAACAAAAGAAGAAAAGACAATAGAAATAGCACAAGTGATTCAGATATTAAGTAATCAGACAGGGACTTAAAGTAATTATAATGAATGTCTTAAAGAAAAGAGATGAAAAGATGGAGAAATCTCACCAGAAATCTGGAAGCTATTCAAATAAAGTCAAATGGAGATGACAGAACCTGAATAATATTGTACTTGAAGTTAATCAAATAGATGGGTTTAATAGAGAAGAACAATGGATTAGTGAATTGGAAGATAGGTCAGTAAAAAATATCCAGAGTAAAGAACAGAGAGAAAAGTAGATGGGAAAAAAAGCACCAGAGGGCCAGCCTTGGTGGCCAACTGGTTAAGTTTCATATGTTCTGCTTTGGCAGCCCAGGTTGGATTCCCAGGAGTGGACCTACACTGCTCTGTTAGCAGCCATGCTGTGCTGGCAGCCCACATACTGAAAAATAGAGGAACATTGGAACGGATGTTAGCTCAGGGCAAATATTTCTCAGCAAAAACAAACAAAC